GTGTGGATTTTAAGTAGGTCGATTTAATAACTAGCTTAGGCCTAATTAAACGGATAATAATATTCTGCCGTAGCCTGTCGAGGGTAAATATTTGTTTTAACAATCCTACTTTTTAATAAGGATTCGTGTGTGTTGCGCATGTCTCAGATTATTATACATATCCGGAACGAATTTTTGCTCTGAGTGCATGAAATAGAGTTGTTGCTGTTGACTATTATTGTAATCATGTATTCTGCCGTCGAAAATAATGCAGGAAATGTTCCTGCGTTTTTAATCAAACTTTGGACACTTGTAGAAGACCCATCAACAGATGAACTTATTCATTGGGACTCAGTGAGTGACTTGAAATAAATCAGTGACATTTCATCACTCAGACATTCACTGATGGGGGATTCCCAATTTTTTATTTCAAATGTTTATTTCTGAAATCCCGATATTATATTATTATTGAATATGCATACAATTACAACATTGTTTTGTTATTAAATCACTGCGTCTCAATATTCTATTAAATATTTGACTCGGCGTGCACAAGTGATAACATAAACAACCTTTTTAAAATTGTTAATCCAAAGAAGCAAGCAACTAAAATTCCTGCATTACTTCCCTTTAGTCGGCTTTAGTGCCTTTAATTTAATAATTATTAATATAATTTTAAATGAACTTAAGCAAGCTCTGTCTACTTTTCTATATATCTAGGCTTAGCCTGTTAGATTTATGTTATGGAAACAAGTAACAATTTGTAATGTTTGGGGGTTGCAGGTTGTTTTTTAGAATTAAAACTAGATCTATAATCTATCATATGTATGTAGTAGTACTACATACTATGTAGTATGTAGCGTAGAGTGTTGCTAGATTATATTTAAATAGGCCCTAAGTCTAAGCCCTAAACTAAACTATTACTATTTATTAGACTTTTAGACTAAGATAAGCCTATAAACTATAAAAGCTAATAATCCCACATCTAGTTTTTCTAGGCCTAACTAAGCATTATATTAGTTTAAGAGTTTAAGGCATTAATCATAAATGAAAAAGCAACTTAAATGACTTAGGCCTGAAAAATTAAGTGAACACAAACTTAATAATAGGCCTACTAAATTAGTCGGCTATATAAACATTCATATATCATTATCAAATAGGGGCCTAGGCCTAATTCTTTAATAAAAGATAGGATCTTCTAGATCTAGCCTATACCTATGCTAAGAACATATATTTTGAATTTCAATCATTCTTTTGTTAGAACAAAAATGGCAAACTTCACATAAAGATATAGTGGAGCTTCTAGTCTAGATTCTATATTTTATTATCCTAATAAAACTTGGACATTTCTTTTTTTTTTAAATTGATAGATCTTTAATTACTGTGGAGAAAAAAGTATGTTTATTTATTTTTAATCATGCATGAAAAATGATATTTTATTATTGTAAAAATGTAAGCGTGAGATTGTTAAAAATATCAGCCTCCAGTAAAATATTAATCAACAATTATTGATAGCATAATCATTTTTGAGATTTTTGTCGTTTAGGCCTATATTTTTCTAATGACCATGCTTCTAAAATACTTTTGAATTTTACTTTATGAATTCTATATATAATTCAACACAATATGGAGGCTATCTTAAATGCTTTAAGTTTGTCTGTATTGTATTTCTATTTGTAATGTCAATGTAATGTATTTTCAGAGTGGCACAAGTTTTCATGTATATGACCAACAGAGGTTTTCTAGAGAAATTCTACCCCTATATTTCAAACACAACAATATTGCAAGCTTTGTTCGACAATTAAACATGTGTAAGTATCAAAGCCTAATTCTGTTTTGAACACTTAAATTGTCACAGTACGTCATGGGTGGAATCCACCTATAATTGTTCAGCATATTGGGTCTTGGTAAAAACACATTTTTATCTGACTTAAATATTGTGAATTATGGACCATCAAAAATCCCATTCTTCTTATTATTACTTTGTAGCCCCCCGGGGAGCAAAGGGCTGCAGCCACACCACTCCATCGGACTTTGTTTGGAGGGACACTCTTTATTTCTATAGTCCTCCTCCAGGATTTTCTTTGCCAGCCTACTTTCCTCTTCCCCTTGGGATTCCAGACTAATGCTTTCCTCACAATTTTGTCTCCCCTTCTCAGGGCATGCCCTATCCATCCATTTTTGCTGGCTTTAATATCCCAGTTTATTGGCTGTTTTATGGTGTTTTGCCACAGGTCATTGGATATTTTGTCTGGCCACTTTATTTTAAGGGCATGGGCGGGTGATGAAAACCAAAATAACCAAAATGCTTATTTCTAAACCTAATGCTATAATATTTAGCATATAATCAGCGACCATACAAAAATGTGATGGTGACTTTCCTACCATTGATTTATGTGCATAACTGAAGAATGCTCCTCATTGACGACAACACTGTATACTCATACCTGTATACTTTTTACCCTTGCATTTCTCATCATCACAAAAGTCAGTAAAAACCTCTCCCCTTGATATGTAACATCATCAAAGGGACGACCATGATATATGCTAGTATTATGTATTAGTTGTATTGTTGTAGTACTACTACAATAGACACATTCAATAATGCACTTTTGATTGGTTTTTCTCTATATGTGTATATGGAAGGATTCCACAGACGACTTACATCAAGGCTAGTAAACCAATATGTATGGTGAGGGTAAAATTAGTTTATATTTTATTTATAAAACTATATTTATAGTAATATATCCTACACTAAGACTGTTTTGTTTACAGATGGATTTCGGAAAGTCACACATATCGACCAAGGAGGGCTAAAAATAGAAAAAGATGATCTAGAATTTTCACACCAGTTTTTCCAAAGAGGCGAGCAGGATATGCTGCAGTATATCAAACGAAAGGTAATTCAAAGGCACATTGTGAGTGATTTAGTACACCTACACATCTTTTAGTCCTTGATATTTATAATTCTAGTGTAGCTGATGATTTTTACATAAGATTTTGTAAGAATATCTGAGTCAAACCTGCCTACCCTCCTGAAAAAGCGAAGTTGTTCAGCTAAATTACAAAAAAATCATGTCTCGTTCTGCCATTTCAGTTTTGTCAGTTTGTTTTGCTAATAAAAAAATAAAACAAGCAAATCTGTTAAATAAAATAAGTGGGGGAAAATGCAATTTCTTCCTTTTGACATTATTTCTGATTTATATTTACTTATAATCTGCATGTTGATAATCTGAAAAAAATCAGCTGCAGAGATTGCAGGAGCTTTAAAAACCAATACAAATATTTAGAATATTCAGAGTAATTTTCTTTTATAAAACAAGGAATGAATACCACAATAAATGTTCTTTTTGTGATTTGTAGCCATACTTATATTTTGTGGGAAAAGTTAAGACTGTCCTTTCTAAACCAGTAATTCTATATTAAATCTGTTTTTAAGGTTTCAAATCCAGCAGTTCGGACTACTGATCACTTAGCACCATCTAAAACGGATGAAGTTTCTCGGGTATTAGCTGATATGAAACAAGTCAAAACTAAACAAGATTCAATGGATCAGAATTTAGAGTACATTAAAAGGTTAGCTATGCTTATTTGTGGAAATTTGGTGTACTTTTTATGTAAAACAGATTCTACAATTAATTTTTTTTTTTACGTTTTTATTTTTTGTTAGTTGTATCACTTTTGTTATATGTTCACAATTTTAATATTCTAACCATTAGTAAAATTGTATTTTTCATTAAATTTAATGTTATATCATTATATAGAGAAAATAAGTTGTTGTGGCGAGAAGTTGCTATGTTGAGGCAAAAACACCACAAGCAACAACAGATAGTGAATAAGGTCAGTCCTACAATAATAAATGTTTAAAAAAAACAATTTTAATGATTGCCTATTTATTATGCGGTAACATTTATTTTAACTATTGCCAAGTAATAGTAAAATGATTAATTGAAACTAATCTGTAATTTTTAAATAATTTTTTTCCTTAGGTAGTACCTATTTTATTGCATATATGCTACTATATTTGTACCCTCTACAACAATTTAAAAATTTTTTTTTTTTTAATGGGTTCTATTAAATGACCTTATTAATGTTTCATTTCTTCTTCATTAAGAATGCATTCTGCATATTGCACTGGTGTATGCATTGTTTACTTTATTTTGCAGCTAATACAGTTCCTAGTTTCTTTGGTAAGCTCCAACAGAACAGGCCTGACAATCCCAACTATTCGCAGAGTACCTCTTGCCATTAATGATGTTAGTCAGCTGGCCAGACAAGAATCTGCCGGCGAACAAACCTTTAATGATCAGGACCTCAAAGATGCATCAGTAAGTGTTTACTGGCATATTGCTTTTCATTAGTGTTGTTTTAAAACTACTTAAATTAGCACTAACCATTATAAAATTAACTTATAATTGTGTTAGAATAAAATAAATTTTGTCCTTGTGTTTCTCACAACAATCAATAGATGTGTACATCAGTGTTGTAAAGATTAAATCATATTAATGGCAATAAATAAATGAGATTTAACACATTTTTACCATTTGCTGCCTCTGTTCTTGTTTTGTTTTTTAATTTTAAAATAGTTTGAAAATACTGTCACAAATTTTGAATTGTTTATGTTTTACTACCCAGGTTCAAATATATGTATTGCGTTAACCTTTTAAAACCCTCACTCATATCAATACTTGTTAAACCTTTCTATTCCTCTCAGTTTTTAACACTTTAGTTATTTAATTTGTTAAAAAAGAAATTCCTTTTATTTGTTCATGGCCATTGTTATTTAGCTTTTGAATTTACCTCAATAACTAAGACCTTTGTAAGAATTTTAAAGATACAGAAGTAATTTTTCACCTCTAAATTTATTTCTTTTAAGCAAAGTCTTCACATTGATTCATCTCCATCTCATAGTATTAACAAAGATGACCAGTTTGGGGATGAAGCCTATACTATTGAATCTGTGAGTTTCAGGGATTAATTGAAAAGCAAGCAGTTTTATGTTTGTTGAAGAAAATTAACAATGGCAATTTGAACTAGCTTTACTAAAACATTTTTTTTTTGTTTTTTTTATTTCTGTTTGAAAAGTTGGTTTGTATTCAAAGGCTTATATTAGTTCCTTCTTAATATCTAGTTTTGTTTATTTCCTATGCTGCATGATAATGGATACTTCTAACATATGGGGTTTTTAAACTAATATAATTTCTAACTATTTCCAATTCTAACAGAATCTCTATCTTGACTTTAATAATTACAACACAGCAACCCTACATTTTGGAAGATGCTGCTGTTCTTTGTATACTAGAAAAACACCTGTTTGTTACTTGTAGTTAGAAAGCATGATATTTTTACCCTATCTCTACAAAATTTATTTTATCTTTTTTTTTTAATCACTGTTTGTCTCTTATCTTACCAACCACTGTTTAATTTAATTTTGGGTAGTGATGTGTAATTTGTCTGTGCAGCCAAAGATTGGAGACTACCTGATACCTAGTACACCAAGTAGCACTGGGCCAATCATACATGAACTAACAGACAATACTCAGACCATTTTAGTACCAGCTTCAGCAGTTACATTGGTGAGTTCTATCTCATTGTTCACATATATTCTTTTTTTTTTACTTTTAATTGCCATCTTCTTCTTAGTCCTCTTTGCTCCTTATGGAGCATAGGGCCTCTACCATTTCCTTCCATTTCTTCCTATCCCCGGCTATTAATTTTGTCATCTCCCAAGACATCCCTGTTGGCTTCAGTTCTTCAAGAAGACTCCGCCTCCAGGTCTGTATTGGGCGCCCTCTTTTTCCGCTTTCCCTGGGGGTTCCACTCAAGCGCTTGGCGTGTAACATTTGGGTGAGCCTTTCACTTTTAATTGCAGGTTAATTAATTTTGTTTATTTGTTGTTTTTTTTTAGGTGAAACAAGATGAAAATTCTGATGACTTTTTGCAATCCATTCTTTCAAATGAACAAGTAGGTGTTATAGTTAGCTAATAAAAGTAATGATTGTGAACACTGTAGACAATCTTCAATTTTAAAATAAAATGTAATGGAGATATTTCTGGTGCGTTCTGACTTGAATAGAATTGTTGTAAGTCACAACATAATCTTCGAATTTGATGTACATATGTGATATGACACCAACAGGCAATAAACCCGACCCCTGCTGTGGCTAATAGAAACATATCACGGTTGTCACAGTCCCCACCACTGTTGTCTCAGCCCATACCCACAGTTATGGTGGGTCAGCCGGATGGCGCAAACTTTTTGCTGTCTCCTAAAATTGAAGCTGCCCCCTCCTTAGAGGATGCATTAAATTTTGGTCTCAATGTGGCGGCGTCAAGTTCAGACTCACTGGGTTCCACATCCCAGCAGACAAATGCAGGATCACAGAAGGTGAGTTGGCTACTTCACTGCACTATTTGCCTGTCATATAGTTACCCCCATTCCACACTAAAATTCAATCATCATCTTTTCCCTTTCATACCAAAAACAAAGTAGAGTTTATCTGCTTTGGCATATGAATGGATAGTGTGGTCAGCACTATGCCCAGCTGCCATTGTTCTCTAACATAGTTAGCTACCCTTCAGAGCTGGGTAGACTCAGGAGATTTCACTCACTTGGACCAGGATTCGACGTCTAGACTTTAGTTTTCATATTAGCAATCTAGCTCTCTACTGCTAGGCCACTCGGTCCCTTATCCTAAAATTAATGTTTTGTTCCTCTGTTGTCTTTTTAGAGAAAAAGAAAGATAGCCACACTGCCACCAGTGAACACAAAGAAAGCCAACACAAACCAAAACAATATAGACCCCGCTAAGGGTAACATCTCTCAAGACCAAGCAGCAACTCTGAAGAATCTGGTCATGGCCAATTCTGACCTCAACTCTACTGCCCCAGAACAAAGCTACACTGGTGCCACTACATCAGATGCCAGCCTAGCTTTGGCTGCATCTAAAGATACTGATGATTTTACTCTCAGGTAACACTTGCAGATATGAACAATATATTTTAGTGTAATCTGAATCATATCTGTATTACATCTGTTAAATTGGATTTAAATTAAATTGCTATTGTACATCCTTATTGTTCTAGTTTAATTTTGTCTATTGTTAATGTTTAGCTATTTAATTATGTCCCTTGTTTAAACAAAAGCTTAAAATTAAAAATCAGAACATTTGCTCAACTGAAGCACTAAGGTAATTACTTAAAAGATTTAGATCCAAAAAATATGAAAATAAACTGTTTCTACTTACTACTGCAACATGCATGAGCTAACTTACAATGAATTGTTTCAATGTAACTACAGTTCAGATCAGCTGGACCTACTGTCTTCAGATTTAGATGGGCTGAAAGGGATACTTCAAGATCAGTACAAGGTGGACCCAACTTTTCTTATGGAGGTGAGACAGGTGTTATTTGTTAAATGTTTCATATAGAACAAGTAATACTAAATATGTGAATTTAAGAATTATGTAATACTAAATCTGTGAAATATAGTTTAGCCTTATCACCTTTGAAACTGGCGCCAGAATTAAATCTGTTGTTTTATCAACAGCTTTTTGACTCTTCTAATCCATGGCCACTGTCTTCAGAAAAGGTAGGTTTTATTCCACTTTGTGAGAATGTGGCGGGTGACTTATGGGAGTAATTAGCCTTAGAACTAGTATTGTGGTATTTGTCCCCTCTTGCTAAAATAAGCTCCACTGAAATTACTTGAAAATGTAATTTCTTTTAAATTTAGTTTTGACTTTTTTGATTGGTGTTAATAATGTTTCTCTAAATAAATATAATTTTTTAAATTATTACAAATGATTGTTGAAATGTTAATATTTGGTTATTTTAAAAGTTGAATTTTTAATATAATTTTAAATGTGTAAATTGTCATTTTGTATACACTAGCTAATAATTACTAAACTTAAATCAATTACTCTGTAGAGATCTACTTGTGTTACACATTTCTTATCAATATGCAATGTTTAAGTGTTAAAACTCTAAACTTTATATTGCATTATTTTTAACGAACTGGATTCTTGTAACTGAAAACACACTTGTGCTCTGTTTTAAATTATAGTTGGTATTGAGCAAGTCAAAATAGATTGGCAGATTTTTAAAAAAAATTGTTCTTAGTTTCATCTGCTGTCAACAGTAACCTGACTAAATTTCCTACCCTGTATGCTACTGAAATATATATAAAAGATGTAATTTAATTTATATTATTTAATGTAATACCTTGTACATACCAGGATTTTGATGACCTTAGAGGAGACCAGGACAGAGATGAAGCAGGAACGTCAGGGAATGGAAATATCACAGGTAACTACAAGCTTTCTCTTGGACCAGTGTGTTTTCATCAGCCTCATTTGTTTAAAAAATGTAGTTCACTGCCTCCACCTTATTTGTTTTAAATTTATTCTTTTATTCACTTGTCTTTATAAAAAGTAGGCTCTATAGTTGAGATATTCAGCTCCAAATATTTTAGCTTGTTTGCTTAATAAGAGATAACTAGTGAGTATGAAATAAACATTATAAAATCAAATTAATTGTTAATAACAATGTAATATCCTATCTGGGGAAACAAGTAAATCTGTTTTATGAAATTTACTGGTAATCAGCAGGTGAAACTGCACTAACCACTTTAGTAGTCTTGGGGTGAAAATTGGTTGAAGCCTATAAAAGATTATAATTTCAGTGTGAGGCCAATACCATGTTTATGAAAAAAGAAGGTACATTCAGGATCCTTGGAAAGCAAACTTGTTTCCTTGATGCTGTTTTTCCAAAGTGCCTTCTTTTTCAAACATAATTTACATGTACTTTTACTTTTTTTTTGTTCATTGTCAATCACGATATAAGAATAATGTTCTGTTGATTATTAGGGATATACATTTTAATAATAGCTACTTATTGTTTTTAATAGACATTAAATTGAGACATTAGGTGAGAACTAATTTAGTTAAAAAGTATTTGAACATTGTTGAAAGTTATTTTAAGAATTTTTTTTGTATTAAAAATGAGACTCCATAAAGTTCAGCATTAAATTATGGGTATACAGTTTTATGTCAAGTGGGAACCAAAGTGGGTATACTAGAAAACACATAGTCCCATTGTATTTGTTCATTTCATTATTTTTAGCACAAAGCTTGTTTGGCTGACGTTGTCATTTCTGTTGGTATATAGTTATAGCTTAAAATTGAATTTAATAAATATAAGATTATTTTCTAGGCTCAAAGAAATTGTCCCTGATCAGTTAAAAGGAAAAGATTTTCTGTTATCTACAAATGTATTGTGCTTTGTTGGGTCTTATAAACTAATGCATGCATTTCACCATGAAGTTGTTCAATGGTGAAGAAAACAATTCATGTACTTTAATTTAGCATATTTGGAGAGGTAAATAATGTATATATCTAAACTAATACATTTTGAACTATTTTTTGAGAAATATAATGTGTAATTGTAAACTAGTTTCATATAATAATAATGGTAAAGTTGTCACATCATTTTTGTTTCTTTATGCATAAACATTTGATATAACTCATTATCACATGGTTGCTGATGAAAGAGGAATTAACAAATATAATTAAATTTAATTAAAAAATAATAAAATGTAAACACAAAAATTTAATTTTTATTCATTATGTTGAAAAATGTTCAAAGTTATAAATCACGTTTTGAAAATTTTGTTTTTCATAGCCGAATTCATTAGCACTCATGTTGTATTAAATTTGCAATGAAAACATATTTTACACATTTAAATAATAAAGGATCATTTTTGCCTTTTTAATGAATTTTTAGGGACAGAGCTTGTGGAATACAACCCTAGAGATGACTTATTTCCTGAACTATTGGATGATAATATCATGGGGGATATTGATGACATTGATTAACTGTAAACTTTCTGAAGAAAGTTGTCAGACAGAGGCTGCTATAGTCAAGTACAACAATGGACCTGCACTAAGCTGGGCTGGAAGACAGTTGAACTACAGCTTTGCCATGCATTGTCCTGGCTATCACCCCGCCTATCATAGCTTTACCATGTTTGCTTGGTTGCTGATGGAGGATTCAACTACTGCTTGTTGCTGACAAAAACATTGCCTAACTTAATGGAACATATGCTAATGGTTAAGGTCCCTAAAGGAAATGTATATGCAATTATTTATTGTGTGTATACTTCCTGTTACTGCTTCTATTTTTATAGACAATCATATGGCATAATTAGGGTATGTAAGAAATCATTAGTTAACATTGATTGCTGAAACTGTATTGATATGCCAGACTAGCCATATATATAGTGATGTTTGTGAAATATGTTTGTTACTTTTACAGACAGTTGATAGAGTTCTAAAAAGGCAGTAAAATGTTGTTTCTGCTTGATATTTGAAAAAAATACTATTATGAATAGTTAATATTTAGTAATTGGGATATGTGTTAACTTATGAACAGTATGATTTGTTTGTATTTAAATTTTGATGCTGAAACAATGATGTAAAGGATTTGCTTCACCATATTTATTTCAACACCACAGTCTCAAAAATTTATATGTAACTCTCATTAACATTTATTAACAACATCAGTCTCATTCATATAATTTTTATTTTATATTTTTACAATAATTTGAGCACAAAGAAGGATAAAAATTGGCATTGTTTTACTATAGATATTATTTAAAAGAAAATCAACATGAACTAATAGAAATCCAAGCCAAGGCTAGGCCTGATTCCTTTTAAATGAACTACATTTTCTAGTTTGGTCATTTTAAAGCAAAATGTTTAGAGGGATTAGATATATCTACTTAAATAAATGTATTACTGTTTATCTTTTTGGTACAAAAATAGCTTTAAATAAATCAAGACAAGTGGTTGTTTGGTTGAATTCATGTAGAGGTTGTTCACTGTTGCTACTACAGAAGACTGTTTGGGTGGTGCCTTTTTTTGTTTTCAGAATGTTGCAAACATTTTAGTTTATTATTCCTGTCCAGGCTATTAGTCTTTGGTTTTGAACATTGAAACATTTTGTTCTTTACTTCATGGTTAGTTTTAAAGATGAATAACATGTCAGCTGTTTGTTAAAAAAAATCATTGGAAGTTTATGGCTGGTCTTAGAATAATAGACAAACATTGAAGTAAATTGTATTTGTTTCGTTTTTTAAATATATTTTTTTTTAAAAAGAATTTCCAAAAATAAAATACATTTCAGAGCAATTAGTTTTGTCTGTTTGTTGTCTGACTGATAGTGTTATCAGTAAAAATGAAATCATTGAAAATTGTTGAGTTGAACTTTAGAGGGACAAGTGTAGCAGCTTTTATTACAAATGTGTTTGATTAAATAACCTAATAAAACTTTAAATAATAGTTGACAATGAAAAGCCATCTTTGTATGCCAATATTAAATAACGTGTCTTAAAAGAATGGAAATTGGTTTTGTCTAAATTGTCAGCTGCACTTGTCCCAATTACCTAGACAGCATTGGATTAATTTCCTATAACATCTCTCACTATATTTGTGAAAATTAAGTCTGAAGCTCACCTTGTGAGTTAACTTTACCATCATAAGGGGTCGGCGTGGTCGAGTCGTTAAAGCTGATGGTTGCTATACCAAAGAAAATTCTTGAGTTTGAACCTTCGGGCAGATGAGGCTCAATAGCTGGGGACAGCCACTCTTCTAGGAGAGACAACTCCAAAATCAAACAACTGCTGCCTTGTTGTTTGTTCTTGGTTGGACAAAGGCTATGGATGCAAATCCATAAAGAAAAACAGGCTGAAATTTGATTCAATGGTGCATAAACAGTTGACACGTATCCTTATGTTGGAGGGGATCCCTTCCATCACTAAAATTAAGAACGAGGAAGATGAAAAGAGACAAGGAACCAAACTCAGTTCTTGTCACTGTAAGACTGTCAGATTTATTTGTATACTGGGAGGTTTATTACATGGTGTGTGAGATGCTCAAACATTTATTTGATGCCAGTCCAGAGAAGAGGGAACTCAGGGTTAAACACTTTTTTCTTTCAAGGTGTAGATGTTCATTATAAAGAGCCTTGTTATTTTAAAGCAATAAAGGGATACCAATCACAAGTAATACTTAAACTACAAAAATTAACAAGCCAAATTATTTTTTAACACTTTTTAAAGTTTTGAATTATAAAGGATCGTTTTATAGAACAGGTTGAATGGAAGAGTACAACAGCCCTCTTAGTCCTGATTACATAGCACTTCCCTAAGTCCTCCCAGCTCTAATTGGTACCTGATCTAGTTGAGGAAAGAAAAACCAGCTGAACATACTACTGACCAGATGCTATTACTGATGTTAACAATCTTTACAATATTTGCCATACTATCAAGGTACTTCATTTTTTTTTATACTTCAAATGACTCATTCTGAAAGAACTAGAACAAGTTGTTCATGTAGTCTATATATTTTAGTACAATAAATGTCTTACTTATTGCTTAGTACCAATAGTCAGATTGTATTTCTTACAGATGCCAAATCAGTCCTGCAATCCCTACAAAATCCAGAGTCCTATATTCAAACACTTATGACAGCACTAGAGAGGCTAAAAAATACCTGCAGCAGAATTGTGCTGCAGTGGATCCCGGGCCACTGCCAGATCCAGGGTAACGAGATCGCAGACCAGCTGGCAAAAATTGGGGGAAAGAAACCACAACCGGAAATTTCGCTACACCCAAAAGAAATAAAAAGAATTATAAAAAACAAACAAACGCAAATGTGGTCTGTCACACACCCTCACTACATTAAAGACGACGGCTATTATAATTTAACACGAAAACAACAATACATAATCTTTCGACTTAGAACAGGCCACAACAGACTAAATCAACACATGCACAGAAAACTGAAGGTTGGGTGTAGCGAAATGTGCCCTTGTGGCAAGGCCCCGGAAAACACGGAGCACGTACTCCAGGAATGCACTTTGTATAGCCAGGCTCGAGACAGACACTGGCCCCAGCCCACCCCACTCAGGGAAAAATTATATGGGGCACCTGACAAACTGGAGACCACAGTCCGGTTTGTCCATGAAGTTGGACTTGTTGTCTGAATCCTCCACCATATTCACAGTTAAGAATGAAGAAGAAGAAAGAAGCTTAGTACCAACCATACATAGTAAAGCTGCCAAACAATCACACAAAATTTTAGAACAAAATTTCACCAGGACTAGAAATCTTTATTTTAAACAAAACAATGATTTCACCCCACGTAGAGGACATTACAGCCTATTTGTCAATGGGCAATTTCTAGCTGATACAATTTTTCACAATGAAAAGCTTTTCAACAAAACAAATAGTTACAGTATTTAAGTTTAATCAAAGATCCAATAATGAAAGCCCATTACATTGTCAAAACTTATTACAAGAATCTATAAGGATAAACTTTTATATCTGTGCGTAATAGCATTTTTGTCACATGTGATATCACAATTTATATAAAAAAAAACAATAAAATGTTAGAAAATATACAATGAATATGGCACTTGAAAACCTTCAAGAAAAATTTTTTTTATTACTTGTAATAAATGTAAACACTAAAACAGAGTTCACTGAAAAATAATTCCAAACAACAGTTTTTTTAACATCTTAAAGCAGCTTTTATATATATTTTTTGCGCCCTCATTTTTAAATCAGCAACATTAGTTTAAATATTATCTTCCTTATTAAAATATTAGTTGACTATCACAGAAAACCTGTCAAGTTGAGGTCTATGAGGCTGTTTGTTAAGATTTTCTTGTGAAGAAAGCTAAGATAGCGTCTGTACACTCTTTGGATTGCCACCTCTCCTCCAGCAATTCACACTCCTCTTTGTTTACTTTTTTTAGCAACTGTAACTCAGAGCTGCGATTTAAAACCTTGGAAAGTCTTATACTCTGAAAATAAACATGAGTTGTAATAGAATAAATATCAAACACTTTCCTAAAGTAATATTTTTTTAACATAGTATTGATTACAATGTATGATGTATATTTTAAATAGGGAGCGAGAACATATTTCCTCTACTTTCACCAACTTTTTCCTGAAAGCATTTTGAGGTTGGCATACTACACTCAATTATCATTGCCACATTAACATGCAAGATTTGAGTGTTTTTCTAATGTAGGCCTTTTGTAGATGGCAACATCAGTTTATTTCTCCTCATTATGCAATGTCTCATTAGTAAAACTAACATTTATGATAAAACAATGACATGGTCCACTTGTAAACACAAAAGCAGTAGATGACAAACCTGTGGTGCACATTTAGCAAATTCTTGTATTCTGCTTGTTGTCTCCTTTAGGAAAACATCATTCGGAAAAACGTCAGCAATGAGGTTTCTTTCTTTTGCTTCATAGGCAGTGATTTTTTTATTAAACAGCAACAGTTCACTTGCCTGAAATGTTGAACCACAATGAAATGAAGTTTACAACAGAAAAATAGTCTTAAGGAAAAGCACACATTGTAAACATTGCTACCTGAGATTGTTTTCTTAAATAACATTATAACACAGTCAGTAGAACGTCCCTGAGTCCACCCTGCTCTGATCGGTACATAACTCAGGAAAGTAAATGTTGTTGTGTTTAGTGCTGACCACACTATCCCTTCATATGCTGAGGTTACAGAAACAGGCGAATTCTACTTCACTTTCTCCATAGAATGTCAGGTTTAAAAAGGGAACTTTGCTTTTTTACTCTACGTGTGTACCAGGACATTAGATCATGTATATAAGAAGCATTTTTTTAATTTAAATAAAATATAATAAAAACTAAATAAATTTTAAAAGTCAGGTGTCAAGCAAATGGTATAGAAAGCTTTGATACACACCTTTGCATAGCCCATTATTTTAGGAAATGTATAGGATGAACAAGCTTCTGGGGATTGGCCAAGTTGTGAAAATGGTGTGTGAAATGTGGCCTAGAAATAAAAGATACAAAAAATAACTTGCACTTTTTAAATGAATCCAAAAATCAATTGATCTACAAATGACCACTATCTGTATACTACTAATTATAAAATTCAGCTTTGTTTATAAATTTGAATGTGTGTATATTTGTATATTGTTAGAACAAAAAATGTGCAATATGTGTATAATATTAAAATATGAACTTATGTAGAAAAATGTTCTGTTTAATATGATTGAATATTCTATTTTTTATTTATAAATGGTAACAAAATTAAGAGAAATATTTAGTAAAAAAAATCACACAATATATAGAAATATGTTAATAATACTACGATACAGTGTATTTATTAATTAAAATCAGAACTAACCAAATCTGTAGCATAAACTACATCACACAAGGCCAAAGTAGTAACACTGATACCAACAGCAGGACCATTAACAAGGGCAATTATTGGTTTAGGGAACTCAATAAATGCATCTACAAACTCACTAGGAAATAGAAAAACAAATTACACATGTAAAAATACCATCAGTTTCAGCTTTTGATAGTTATGCAATTACCTAAACACTAAAAATGTAACATGTTTTAAATCATGAATTTTAATTTACATTATTAAAAGAGAAAATGATTCCTCTTACAGAAGAACTTCTTTTCCTTTATTAGCCATCTCAGCAATTTTGTCAGGGGTGACGTTTGCAAAATTAGACAGGTCATTTCCACTACAATAGAAGTCCCCAGCCCCTGTAAAAAATGTTGTCAGAAAATATTTAGAGCTGCTCTTCTTTATCAGAAAATAATTTAAGAACACAAAATGGTGCTCTTTATCAAAACATTACATATTTTATGAACACACAATATTCCTTTTTAAAAATAATTCAAAGAACATGTATTTTACCACTTAGATAGCACAGACAAGAAACAATAGCTGTATAATTAAGGCTTAATCAAGAACATGGTCACATAGCTACTAATTTGCACGACAGCTATGTGTCAATTAGAGTTGTATGATTTTGACCTGACTATTCATCCATGATTTGTATTTTTAAATTTCAAAACAAATATAACTTTGTGTATGATAAACATATGCTTTCAACTTGTCAGGATTTTATATAACCCGTGAAAAAAATAATTATATTAAAATATAACAATCTGAGTAATTAGGTCACCTGTTATAACTGCTATACTGTAAGCATCATCTTTGGCTGCTTCTTTCAATGCCAGCCCAATGTCCTTGTACATCTGATGGGAGCACAACGTATGTTAGTCAATGAAGAAAAATGCCTTACAATCTACAAATAAGAATCCACTGAACACACTCACCTGCCATGTAATTGCATTTTTCTTTTTCGGTCTGTTAAGTTGAATGTGAAATATTTTGTTCTCTCTGGTTATCTTCAAGCCTTCATACTGGACACCTGGACCCTTGACCTCCTCAACTGCTTCACTCCCTTCGTCCTTGGCCAATTGGTCCACAAGATTAATATAAGCTTTTTGTGCATCGTCCTAAAAATTATTTTTAAAATCATAAACATTATGTTTTATCTCAACTCGAACAGAATTATAATTTATTTAGTTTTAAAGCATGAAATGTATGAATTATAAAGCATTACCTAGCAAAAAATAGGACATTTACTCATTACCTAACTCATTCTTGGGTAGGTGCACAATACATGACTCAGACACACAGGAACTACTTAAACAGCATTTACCTGACTCATGCTTCCAAGTTCATTCCAGGCACTCCACTTGGCCTTGCCAACAAGGTCCATCATTCCTGGTTTGGGGACATTGCACTTTCCTTGTGTAGCCTAACAAGAGTTTAAAAGCATGGTTTAAGTAAACGAGGTAAAAAAAAACAATGTCCTAAGTTCTTTTGTAAACAAATATGGCCTCAATGTCAGCTAAAGTTTAAGATGTGTGTACCTAGTCACTGTATCATCAATACAAAATTTTTCAAATTTATAAAACAAAAAAGATAGTCATCCAATACCGATTGTAAAACTTAAGTATTTAGTTTAAAATCTTTTTTGAGTTATGTTAAAAATAACTTAAATATATAATTTTATATTAATCTGATTCATTAACAAATATTCTATCCACAAGAAACCAGAACTATTACCTGCTTAAATAGCCCATAAATTTTAAGTTTAACATCATTGCCTGGCTCTTCTTTTAATTTATTTAGACGCTCCTTCGCCTTTTCAAAGTCTTTATCATGTGCAGGCCGTAGACATGAAGATGTCGTATGAATAAGTCTGCTCTTGTTCTCTAGATTAAATAATCTGTAGATAGATTTAATAAACATATATATGATAAAAATATGCATAAATATAGATTTAAAAATTACATTGGAACAAAAAAAATCAATTTTAAAACAAAGTTTGCATAACTTAACTATATTTTTCAGCTTATAAGATGTTTACTCTTTTTTTTTACCTTGTGATGAATTTTTTGTCATTAAAAAATTGAATTTGAATTGAGAAAGACAACCTACTAAAATATTTAGACCTAAATTTCTTTTTTTAAAGTGCAGTCTATATTGTACAAAAAACGTCCAGCACCCCGCCCCCCCCCCCCCCCCAAACAAAATATAATTTGTATACAAATATATACAAATTTCAAGTGCCGCCCCCGAGTGTAGTTATTAATGTTTTTTTAAGAAACACAGAAAGAAAAACTTGCAGAAGATTTGTGAAACTAGATCTAGCAAAATAAGACGATTTGATTTACTAAAGTTAATAGTAGCCTAAAGAAATAGAACAATGTTTAGTAGCAGCAATAATTAAAATCAATCCATGCACATTTTTAAATATTATGTATTAAAAATATGGCGGCGAATAGGCCTAAATGATGGTTTACAGTATTTTCGGTGGTTTCTGGAACAGCTCGACAGACTACGCCATAGTTTTACTGTTTTAGTTTTACTGTTTTTTACTGCCGTACAATTCCGGAATAATAACCGACTCTATATCATGATTTTACCAATAAAATATGCTAAAAATTGAGATTTGCAGTTGCTTTTAGTAGCTAGGCCAATGCAAAAATTTAGTAAAACAATATAATAGTTACATATTTGGATAGGGGCTGTCAATCTGATTACAGATCAGTTTGAATTTTCAAAACCTGACCATAAACAAAAAAGTTATGAATTTTTTAGTCATTAAAAAACAGCAGTTTTTTCAGACAACCGGGGTAGACCCTGAAAGAGGAAAAATACTGGGAGGGTATGGACCAAATTTTTAAGCGCTTTTCACTAAAAGTGGTATAAAAGCCAGAATACTTTATCAATTGATGTAATTTTAAGACATTTTATAGATTTTTGTATGCTGAATCCAATGATGCTATTTTAAAAAGTGTCCTTCGATTACTCAACCTACTAATCTCATAGATTATGTAATACCCCCCTTTCAATTTTTTTTTAAACATCTAATAATCAATGTGATAAGAATTCATTCTTTAAATGTAACGCTGTTTTAATCTAAAATATGACATTTGTATATGCTGAAGCTAATGGTCGATTTAAAATGGTCCAACATTGTTACATAACTATCAAATGTAAGGTTATGTAATCCCACCCTTTGCTCAAAATATACCATGAATTTGTTTTAAAATCACTTTTGCTCATTGTCAGTTAACTTCAAGTTAATAGCCTACTAGATCTAGAAGAAAATATAACTAATCAAGTTTTTCAATACAAAGAGAAGAATGCTATAGTAAATTTGTGATTATGTAACTTCTTAAAAGATGTTATCTAATCTATGTGCAATACTATAGGCCTACTCTGTTCCAAAAATAATATTATTAATATTATTATTAATATTATTAATTATATTTCTTGTTATTTTAAATATCTTAATCCTTTTTGCTATAGAATTAGTCTAGTTACAAATGTGTCTGATCAGAATCAGAGTGTGCTTTATGGTAATTACGTAATATTATTACCCATATTAAAGTTAATCATTTTTACAATGTCAATAAAATAAACTTTGGAGGAAAATATTTTTTTTTAAAACTTGCACAAGATATAGTTATGTTATAGATATATAACATAAATTTATATTTATGCCCAATGTTTATGCTAGTAGTAAGTAGGTTTATGTATTTTGTAAGCCTACCAGTAGGCCTTTTACAATTAACAACTTTCTTAAGAAAAAAGCACGTGATTGAGTGCTTGACTGTGTAGATCTAGTAGATTGTAGAAATTGTGTAAGACTACCCTGTTTGGCTATACACAGACACGTGTACCACCACCAGCTTTTGCCTAGATTTAGTTCAATCAGACATGTGGGTAACCAGGTCTTTTGACCAACGAATTTTATTGCCGTATTACGTAAACACGATTACTGGATAGGCTAGTCGGCCAACCCGAGGAACGTGTCAGATGAATATTATGTAATCTCAGAGACAAAAGTCTGGCAAGATTTCCTGATCTATGCCCGAGGGTTAGTAACATCAACTCCACAAAGTGAAGGGGGAGGGAGGTGGGGCATGAAACCACCGTGTACTGTACGGGTGTTATACAACATCAAAAGCGATGCTCGTCGGCTTGTCGCGTCACGGACTAGTGGGGGCGGGGTGAGGCTATGGGTGTTACATACGGTGTAGGATGGTCAGTGGCTACCCCCATCCACCCCACCCCATTTTGGTCGATTTGGCAAGCTAGTAACCCCCACGTTGTTAGTGGTATTAAAATTTGTAGAAAAGAGCCCCGGATATAATTTAATTTATTTTTAAAGCCATTTTTACGAAAATGTAATGTACACAATAATGAAACGTTACGCGAATCACATCACAGCATTGTTTGATCGTGCCGAAGCTATTCGGATTAATTTCTAAAGAAGATTAATTTTGACAATTAGTCTTCAGCCGTAAATACTAACAAAACTTTTGTTTGACGTTTCAATGGGTTAAGACAAAGTTATGCCACATGTCTGTGTGCTTATAAATATAAAGTAGCAATAGCCGTCGAGTCAAACACGGGAACACATGTATCTATCTTTAGACGTTTATAGTATCATCCAATCAGATCAAGCGCCTAGCGTCACGTGACCACACACTCGGCTGTGCCACACGATGTGTAATCAGTCGGACGGCGGCCGACGCGTTAATTTTTATTTTCGTTCGGTTTTAAAATGTATGGTCGGCTTTATTACGAGGTGTTATAATACATGTCATACATTAAAATAAACTGCGGGATTTCGGGAATACTGCTCAGGGTTCTAATGTAAAATATGTCCAATAATAGACCGGGAAACTTGGTTCAACTTTGCGGTCCGATATCTCCAAAAGTATTTAACTTATTTTGACCACGAACCCTGAGCGTTATACGTCTACATTTAATGTATTTGTCTGCCAAACATAACTGTTGTAGTACGTAAACTCGATACGTGTATACACATTTTGTAACGCGTCATCAGATTAAAGACGACGATTCGAAGCACAGCAGGTCGGTTCAGTCAGACAGCGGTCGGCGCGTCATGTTTATATTTTCGGTCCACTTCAAAGTCTATAGACGTCCTTATTATAGGGCCTTATAGGACATATCATATATATTAATAAACGTCGAGATTTCAGGAATACAGCTCAGGGTTCAAATAAAAAATCGATCCATAAATAGCTCAAATAACTTAGTTTAACTTTGCGGTCTGATATCTCCAAAAGTATTTAACATATTTTAACCAAGAACCCTGAGCGTTATACGTGTACAGTTAATCTATTCTTCTACCAAGTTTCACAGTTTTAGTACGAAAACTCACAGAGTCTATAGACTCCAAGTAACACCCCCCTTTTAAAAAGTTGAAAAAGCCTCCCCCCTAATCGGCACGTCGCCGCGGAGGGTAAAAATTGCGATTTAAACGGCGATTTCTTCAACGTTTGAAATAATACAGAAATCAAACTAGTACAGTTAAAAAGGTTATTCAATTACGAAAAGAATGATGTATACCATGTTAATATAAACACAATAAAAGCATGCAAAAAACAGAGTTAAACATGCAGGGGGTAGGGAAAAGCCGATTTGTCCAATTTTCTCGATTTTCTCAGCAGCGGCATTGGCCTAGCTACTTTTAGTAAAATAAGTACAATATAGACCAATCTGTAGTGACTACAACTTGTAATTCAGTTGCAAGTTGAAGTTCAGAGTCCAGCTCAACCAAGGCCTAAGTCCAGCCAAGTCAGTCTGCTGTTGATCACTGATTTCAATTTTACACTTAGTGTGACTTAGATTACACTATTACTATACAATAGAAAATTGTTTTGTATTAGGCCTATTATTTATTTTAATACACAACACAAACAAATTAGAATATACGCTTCATTTATTTTAAAAATATTACCTAAAGCGTAAATTGTTGGCTGTGAAACAATTTTGAAGTAGTTTGAACTTTGGAACGATACCGCTTGCGGCCATCTTTGTTTAGCTTATCTACACAGCTGACTTTGCTGTGGAAAAGAACACAAGAGAGCGACAATAGGGGCCAAAAAAAAAATTATTATAAAATTATTTCGGCTTTTTGAAATATAGATCTAGTAAATAAAAATAAATATTTAAAATTTGATTTTACATAGGCCCTATAAATAGTATAAATTGTATATAATTTTAATAAGCTGTATAACTAGATGGAAAATGCAGACTTTATTATTAAGAATTAGCTATATTAATATTTCGTTCAGATGTCACCCCATAAAAATGGTGTTTCCATGCGAAGTCCAATAGCCCCCCTCCCGACAAGGGCCTTATGATAAACTGACATCTGACTGTATGGGGTCATCCATTTATGACATCCACACAATCTTGGGATTTTACCCCCCCCCCCCCCTCGTCCACTTTCGACGAACACCCCCCCCCCCCCCTCCCCCATGTGGACATGATTTAATGGCCAATTGCCATATTTTAGTATTTTATATATACATATCTATAGGGGTCGTCCATAAATGACGTCACACTCGTAGGGGGGAAGGGGAGTCCGTAATTTTGTAACGGTGTGTGATGAGGGGGAGGGGGGTTCAGATGGTGCGACGTCACACTTTTGCATAATAAAAAAGCAATGGGGGTCGTCCATATATGACGTCACACTCGTAAGGGGGAAGGGGGTCAGTAGTTTTGTGACGGTGTGTGATGAGGGGGAGGGGGGTTCAGATGGTGCGACGTCACACTTTTGCATTATAAAAAAGCCGTGTTAGAAAACTAATTTTAGACGTTATTTCGCGTTTTAGAGAACTGTTTTAATAAATTGTAATATGAATTGATTAACATTTTCTCTATAAACAGAGTTCAGACAAGATTTTGGAAAAATGTCGATGTTGTAAGAAAAATTCAACGGCAATTTTGAGGGGGTTGTAGGCTGAGGTGTGATGTCATTTTAGGGGTGGGGTTCTGACTTTTTGTGACAATGTGTGACAGAGGGGGGGGGGGGGGTAAAAATCGTCAAAAAAGCGTGACTTATTTTATCGATGACCCCCATTATTTTTAATTTTAGTCTGGATGAAACACTTGTTAGGCTTAAAAAAATGATAGTTCGAATTTTAGATTTAAAGTTCACAACTGATCTGACATTATTTATTTCGTTTCTTGTTTTGTTATTTTTCCTTGCACGTGTTGAAAGTGTAAACACAGAACTAATGCACCCATCGCACTCTCATAACTTCTTAGATTAGATCTACCTCTAGAATACTCTAGATCTATAACAATTATTAATTTAAAACTAATAAATAGTAGATCAATGAGCTTATAGTTTTATTATAATATAGAATCTACTAAGAATACTTGCATAGGATAACATCATAACTGCCGGTAAGTACTCATTGAGTCCACTGCCTAAACTTTGACTAATATTTGTAAATTCAAGTAGAAATTGTAATGACTAGGGCAGGGGCCTACTAATTTACTAGGCCTAGGCCCTGTCGCCTAATCTCATGATATTATAAATTATTGATTATTTTATTATTAGGCCCATTGAATTGTTTATTAGAATCGGGAGAATGTTTACACCGGTGTCTGATAATGTAATCTTCTTTAAAAAAGGGGTGTGTAAAAAACTGTTAGGCTACTCAACTAAAAATAGTAAATACTCTAAATACACTAATATAATTATAAATACACACATGGCTGGCTAATGTCAATGCTAACCCTGTCCCTAACCCTAACCCCAACCCTGGTCCAACCATATGCCTAACCCAATTAGACTAATCATAAAATTAGTCGAGATTACAATACTACTAACAACCCAACACCCCTTTTTGGACATTGGTATCTATATTCATCCATTTACTTTTGTCAAAACTTGAGAAAAATCCAAATTTAGAATATTGAATGTGCTATGTTCGTGTAGGCCTATCAGTTAGGATTTTCATGGCAATGGGTGAAGTACGTAAACGTACCTCACACTTGCAAGGAGGTTAAGTTTGCATTGTTACAAGTATCTCCAACGTATGATACTTTAAATAAACTTTTATGAATTCACAATGACCCCAAAACTGAGGCCAACACAATTTCATCAAACAGCTATTGCCCGAGCTATGATGTATGCTGATAATTAAAGTCAATGTGAACTCACGGTGAACTCGCGACCGATCACACGATATTTAATTGGAACTGTTCTAATGTTTTTTTTGTTTTTTTTTACCTTTAGTCTAATTAAAAGTCACATTCATAAAAAAAAAGTAGATCTAGCTCTAGTCCTAGTGTTTTCCTAATGTTTTTTGTGTGTTTCGGTTGTGTTTATAATAAAATACGCGCAACCTTAATCTTAATCATTTAGTACATTTAAATATCAGGCTACTTAGTTTTATTTTTATGATTTTAATAATTCTTCACTTGGACATAACTTAAAAAAAAGACGGGGGAATTTTTATACCGGTTTCCGATAAAAAAGCTTCTTTAAAAAGGGGGTGTTAGGTTACTGGTAGTTAACTAGATTCTAATAGACCTAACTATTAGAAAAAGTTTTGATCGCTAGGTCTAGAATCTAGATTAGAATTAGATCTACTTCAGACCTATTTCAATTTTTATTTTCAAAGTGACTGCTCAGAAAAAGCTTCTTCCCCCAGCGCTATCTGGCTTGCAAAAGATTGAAAAGATGTAAAACCCAATGATCTAAAATCTAACTAGTTGCGCAATGGGCTCAAATTAAATTATAAATAGGGCCTACTATTAATAGCTGCGAGAATGGACTCAGTTTATTCTCTGTTAGCTGCGCACTCAATTTATTCGCTTATAGTGGCACAATGGCATCAAATTACTCTTTTAGCTTTATTCTTCTGACAAGACTATATGTACCGTGTGGTTGAGCAGTTGCGCTTTGGGTGGGCTGTTAGGGTTTGTAATTCATAGTGTATAGTTATAGAAGATCAACTTAATGTAGATGCGGCCATAAAAATAAACAAGACAAATTTTTAAATTTTAAAATGTCCTGGAATTTATTTTTAAACTCCTGGAATTTGTTTTTAGTTTTGGAGCATGAACCCTGCTGTTTGAGCCTGGCTCTTGCAAAAATGACTCACTCAAAACAGTTTTAAGTTCCACTTCACACCCCTAAATATATATTCTTGTTAAACAGAAATTGATATTACTCTAAAGCATTTTTATGGGACAGCGTGGTCTAATTGTGTAGCATACGGCTGCTGGCCCAAAAGTCTCGAGTGTGAATCCAGGTTCAAGACTGTAAATGTCACTGAGTCCACCCAGCTCTGATGGGTACCTGACTCGCATTAGAGAAAGTAAAGACGGCTGGGCATAGTGCTGACCACACTACATATCCCTTCAAATCAAATACTTAAATCACAGAAACAGGTGAACTCTACTTCACTTGCCCCATAAAATCCCAGGATTGAAAGGAAAAGGTTTTCCTATTTATTAGGATTGGGTTGTTACTTTTTGATGAGTTATATTTGCAAAAATATTAGGTTTACTTTTTATTTTACCGCAAGAATACTTTGAATTAGAATTGTTTTGGGAAACTTACCTTCACACTGTTTCTGGCACAAGTATTCATTTTTAAATGAGATTCCTATAGTCTTTGAATCAAATTTACTATAACTATAGCATGGTGCTTTTTGTAAAACCTTATTTTGTTTCATGTTATATTTGACCAATTATATTCTCATAACCTATCTATTTTCTAGATGTAGAATACTGTGCATATTATTTTTAGCGAGATTTTTATTGAAATTTAAAAAAAATACTATGCCAGTTTTTTTATAAGTTTTTTTTTATTGATTCAACTGCCAGTTACATTTTTATAGAGACATAGTAAGAGGGCTACAATTATACACTAATCTGAAACAGATTTTTACAGAATTGAAAAGGCGGTTTCTTAACTTAATAGTACAGGAAAGAAAATATACAGCTAATAATTTCCAAAGCATTATTGCAAGTATGTAAATTTTTATTTTTTTAAAGGATTCTGTTTTTCCTTTTGAGGAATATTTTTACAACTAGAGTTGTAAGCTTACAGTAATATTTTGTATTTGTAGTAACATTTTCATGAAATTAATTAAATAATTGATTTGTTGTCAGAAATGTAGCTATGCATCTTATTTCCTACAAGGGAATTAATCACCTTTTTTTAGGTATGCTCTCACTCTCTTCATAGCACAACCCATCTGACTAAATAGTAATCCAATCCAAGTTTGGTTAATAGTTCTGTCTATTGACGCACATTTTGATTTTACATGCTTATGTAGTATAATCTGACAAACTATACACAATATTATACAGCACCTATATGATTTATAAATGGGTATGATTCATGGCGTGTAGCTGTGAATTTTTTTTTAAAATAATTTTCATACCGATTGGCTTAATATCACTAATATCACTATTTAAGAAAATAATATTTCTTAAATAGTCTGATATTAAGCCAATCTGTATGGGGAAAAAAGTAAAGTTGTTTTATGTTTAATAAACTTCTATTGCTACATACATTTTTAAATCTCTTAAACTTTATCTTCTCACTCAACAAGTAAATCAGAACTGTACAAAGTTTTATGTCACGTGCTCAAGAAAGAAATGGTGTTATATGAGTGGAAAAAACATTTCCATGTGAAAAAAAATAGATCTAGTTGAAACAGGTTAATCCATTCCATGTTTCTATCAATTATTTAGTTAACCCAGGGGTCTTGCAACCTCTTTCCATTACAGAAAAATCTTTCATTCCAAATTTATTATTTAGCTATATCATTTTTTACTACATTAAATTTAAAATTACAAATGGTATTTAGACATTTCTCTGATCCTTTCTAGGTATCAAGTAATGTTTTTATTTTTTTAAAATGTCGAGTTAGTTGTTGCAGTGTACTGATCTGGTGGTGCAGGTTGTAGATCTCTGGTTTAACTAAAGTAGTTGCTCGTATTCTACAAATCCACCGGCATATTATAATCTCCTCAGAGGCGTAGCGACCCTTCCCGGCGCCCGGGGACAAACTTTTCAATTTGCACCCCCTCCCCTCAAACTTTCAATTTGCACCTCTCCCTCAAACTTTCAATTTGCACCCCACCCCCCCCCCCCCCCCCCACCCCCTCAAACTTTCAATTTGCACCTCCCTCAACCTTTCAATTTATTTTTCCAACCCATTTTGGCGCCCCCTAAGGTCGGCGCCCGGGGACATATGCATCCCCCCCCCCCCCTCGCTAAACTACTGAATCTCCTGTGTTTTCTTTTTTCTGAAGCTGCCATTTTAAAGAGCAACTAAGGTAGATATTTTTTTTTTGTTTAATCACAAAAATTTTGATTTGAGATTCCCCTATCCCACCAGAATATAGGCATTGTATAAAATATTATTGGGAAAATTCATTATCTTAATTATGTTTGAACTTATTATTATTCTAGCTCTAAAATTAGTAATATATTTCAAATTAGTATGAGTTATTGCAAGTAATATAACTATATAAACCACTTGATGTACAAGTATAGTATTTATCCTTTGAATATTTTGAAAACCAAGCTTTATCAGATTCATTGGTTTGGTCAATGAAATCTCCTGTCTGATGTAGTCAAGTTGAATGATAAGGAGAGTATTAGTTATACATGTATGCATATGATCAAATGAGTTTATGTATCTGGAACACGTAAGATTTATTGTCTGTTTCCTTGTCTCACACCGCCTCCATGTACATGGCGTATTTGATCTCTTCATCCTCGGTGTAAGGCACGATAAACTTGGGCGCGATGCCGTTGTTCAGTTGTGAAGTAATGATCTCACTGGCCAATGTTTCCACCCTGTCGGTGTACAGATGCCCGTTGACCTTTGTCCCGTTCGTGTAGATGGCCGAGAAGCGAGGTTTCCCGTTGACGCTGTAGGAGTTTAGGTACGACATGTAGAGTTGAGACTTGGCATTGTCCTCTGTTGTTTTCATCAGCTGGGCTGAGGAGAGGTCGTAGTGGTGCTTGAAGTCCACTCGGATGTCGTCGGCGTCCTTGACGAAGATGAACGAGAACTCCTCGTCGCCCTCCTCCTTGTTGTAGACGATGGTTTGTGAGATGGGGTAGAAGCTTTTCTCGTAGTACATCTGTACGAGCTTCTCGTACGGTTCCGGTAAGTGGCCGGTGCCGTACTTCATCTGCTTATCCAGCGAGAAGGCCTCGTAGCGGAAGATGGCCGCGAACCGGATGGGGACGACGTGCGACCTGCTGATGTAGCTGTGTAACTGGGTCATGTTGTAGCCGAGCTCCTCCAAGTGCATTTTTTTCTTGAGGAGATGCCTGTGGTCCATCCCGTGCTCCAGGATGTAGTCGTACTGCGATCTGCTGGGGTGCGCGATCCTCCTGCTGACCACTAAGAAATTTGTATGGTCAGCTAGCGTGTGGGATGTAAACCACTGGACGCTCAGCCCTTCCGTCTGTAGAGCTTTAACGTAGGCCTGGAGGTGATGCTCGTTGACTGAAAACTTCACCGTGATCTGGGAACTCGTTTGGCTCTCTTTGGGCTGCGACACCCACGGGATATCTGACAGGTCGTGGTAAAATAAGTTCCCCCTTTGTGGTTGTAGAACCGTACTCTCCATCAGCTCCTGAAGCTGCTCCCTCGTGTCGCCGCGCTTGCTGCTGTCGTAGAGCAACACCACCCACGAGTCTGGCGTGTCTTGGTCGTTGTCCATGTTGTAGCGAAGGATGAGGTCGTCTGTGTAGGTGTTCGCTTCTTGCCAGACTGCCCTGGAGTCGCTGAGAAACCCGGCACCGTACCAGGAGTCTTGCTGTAGGGGTGTGATGTCTGGTTGGGCGTACAGGGGAGTCTTGTCTTTGAGCAGGAGGTCGGTCTCGAACGTGCATCTGTGGAAAAGGTGGAGTTCATTTTGAGATTGCTGGCCTTAGAGGGGAGTAATTTTAATTTTCAATGCTTAATCGTAACGTTTTTTTTTACCAGTAGGCTGCTCATTGATAGCAAGTTTCCCGCGTTACTCTCCAAAAACAATATCTAATTTGTCATACATTTCTCACGTGATCAGACCCTGAAAATTGACCAAACTATCCTAAACCATAGCCTTACGCCAAAGCTTAAGGATACGCCATTTCGCCAAACTATCCCATGCCTCAACCATCTGAAATTCTGACCATACGCGTTGCCATACACAACATCCCATCATACCTGAGGAAACGGACCATGTCGTAGACGTTAGAATACCAGCCGAGAGCCGAGTCTACCGACAGGCCATCAAGGCTGTAGTACAGGTCCTGGTCCTCCACGGTTACTGCCCTTTCATCCCACCGCTGGACAATGCCCAGGTGGGTGTTCCACATCCCACAAGGGTTCAATACAAATCTGAAACACGGAAGCAACATAATTTTTAATAGTTCCTCAAGTATCTACTAACTACGGGAATGTTGCTATGCAATGTATATTTAAGTTTTAACGTCTGAAGGACATTCAATGTTGTATTTTTTAACGAAAAGGTGGATATTTTTATAATCGCCGGTTATTTATGCTGGGATTACTACCTTAACCCTACCGGCGTAAGAACAACCTTGGTATTGTATTACACTCTATACGATCACAAGACTTTTTTTTACAATTTCAAGTTCTCATAAATATTCATGCTCCATTATTTTAAAAATAAAAAACCAAAACCATCTCAAGAATAATCGAGAGATTTGTTGTTTACCTTTTGACGTAGTCGCTGTAGGTGATGTCTGTGACGGCCTCTATGACGCGGCCGAGGATTAAATAGGCGATGTTTGAATAGGCCACGTTAGTGCCCGGGTCAAACCTGAGAGGCTGGGAGATGACGTAGCTGATGAGAGACTTGGCCTCCAGTGGGAAACTCTTTTTCATCTGTTTAGCGATGTTTGGGACGCTTGCCTGTCGATACAAATACAACATGTCAGTTGAGACGGTGTTAAAATAAGTTGCACATTAATTTTAGTGGTATATGATTTATAGTACTTAGATCTCTAATATACTAATATAGGGGCTCTTTTACGCTTTCCTGTCGACATAAGATGTTAGTTGAGATGGTGTTAAAATAAGGTGCATATTAATTTTAGTAATAGATTAGATACGATTTAGAAACTACTTTAAGTTTGGATCTCTAATATAGGGGATTTTTACCTTTATTGTTTAACAAACCCAATTGAGCTGGAAATGCAGATATTGTTGTGTAGTAATTGTTGGGGATATAATATATGTATTGAACCAGAATTTCTTTTTAAAATACGAACTACTCTTGGAGCTTCAATTTTTTAATTTTCGTTAATTCTATAACCCTTGTCTCAATGAGAGTCAATGTTTCACAATATCATGAAATATCTACCCCTCTTGTTTTATCCACTACCTGGAGCCGCTATAATATTTCTTTAGTTTTCGCGTTTATTTTTTTCAATTTATTTTTCGTTTTGTTATTTTAAACCAAGTTGGCCTATCTTGCCTATTTGTTACGAGTACAATGTGATAACATCCGCTGTATGGTTGAAGATCCCAGACTTACATGACGGCTATGATAGAACTGGTTTAACACCGGGTCAAGCAACGGCCCTTGCAGGTCGTCCCACCCAGCGGCGTGGTGTAGCAGGTGGTCCACGGTGATCTCGTACACTCTGGGGTCCGCCTTTGTCCCATTCCATGGCTGGATGTCGCTCAGGACTCCCAGCTCCCCGAACACCTGACCAAAAAAAAGCATTATAATTTTTAAAGCATGTAGACCTATGTACTGTGAGGTTTGCTACCGTTGTCTACTACGTTTGGGTTTCAACATTACTTGAAACAAGGCTTTACGAGAAAGTAACATAACAACAGAGGTATTTGTAAACATTCCTCCTTAAGCCGAACAGCCCCTCAAATTTCCCAAGACAACACGAGGTATCTGACCTTGTCCTTGAGAGATATCCTGGCCTCTTGGACCAGCTGTAGCAGGGCCACTGCGGTCAGAGACTTGGCTACGCTGGACGTGTGGAAGGTGGACTGGGCTGTCACCTGAGACATTTGAAACGCATATTAGGATACATTTTTTAAGCTGTATATCTATGTAGGGCCTACAAATATATGGAATGTCTGCGTGGTGGGGTCGGTAAAGCTCATGGTTGTTAAACCGAAAATCCCCGAGTTCGAACCATTGGCAGATGAGGGTTAGGCTCGATAACTGGAGACTAGCAACCCATCTAGGTGAGAAACTCCAAAATCATATAACTTATGCTAACACGTTTTAACTGGGCGCATGGCCTTCCAGTAAAGGTCACCGGCAAGAGTCCATAGTTGAACTTCAACTGACCACTTGTTCTTGACCAAGGCGAGCCACCTAGATAGAGGCATATGGCTGTGGTCAGGCATGGAGAGGGGTGGGCGCCGCCATGCGATTCTTAGCCCTAGACACATCACACAAATCTGTGGTACCTCAACGACCCCCAAGGGTTAAGGGATTTATTTTATTCATTTATTTTATATATGGAATGGGGCAATGCTATACAATCTTCCTCTAATGAAGAAAAATTAATTCGTCGATTCATTTTTTGTAGTAAATCTCATACGTTGCGTTAATAAAAACGTTTCTGTGATTCACCCCCCCCCCCAACCCTAAAGTATAACGTTGACAGATGGGGCGACGCGGCACACTTAAGCAGTTCACTTCTCCTACTTTACCACGTCCCTGGGGAGAAACAGTTAATTATAAATCTGATATGCATATTACCCAAGCTAGGAAAGGAGCAGTATGAAGCGGGCCACGTTATTTTACAAACTTTTATTTAGTTCGCAGCGTCTGTTTGAGGGTTTGAGGCACATCTTGTAACTCAATTTTGACCCACGCGATTTCGTTCAAACTTTCCAGATGAGATCTTTTACATATTTTAGCTACATAAGCTTTTATTAAAGCAAGCAAATTAGTTTTATTTTCTAATTTGCAGTGCATAGAAAAGCTTATTGCTATAACTACTATAAGCTTGTTGTTTTTTAGTATTTATTTTTATTAAAAAGACATTCCTCTCGTAAGGCAGCCAGCTGTAACTAGTGTAACATTAGATGCATGTAATTCTCCTTAACACTAGAACAATGGATTAGGTTACAACGGTGTAGGCCCTACCTCATGTCCCGCACGGTCCGTCCCAAAACCTTTTGCCAGCAGCAGTTCCCCATCTTTCATGACAGCCACCGCTCCACCTCTGTAGCCATTGTCTTGTAAAAATTGGTTGAAAGTGAGATCGATGTCTGGATCTGAGAATCCTGTTGATGAATTAAACGTGGCATAAATGTTTGCGTATTTGAAGCAATGACTACGCGTTGGAAGGATAGCGATATGTTTACGTTATGGAAATAGCAAGCATACTTATAATTCTATTTATAGCTCTTAGTATGATATATATTTTTTAAAATTATCATTTGTTTCAAGAGCTATGATATAATTTTTAAAATTATCATTTGTTTCCCTTATATTTATTGCTTAAAATAAAGTACGAAGAGAAGTGAAGGTAGTCCTTCATATTGATAGGGTTAGTGTTTATCTCAGGTATCTCTCCTAATCACCTTAAAATATATATAATTTGAAAATCCTATACTTAACCCCTCTTCCCCCGAAAGTCAAAGTGCGCCCCCGAGAAAAAATGTCTGTAAGAATTTCCTGGATAGGGCTTATTTCGAAGACAGTAAGCCTTCGTCACCAGACAGGCTGGAAACCCCAGAATAGCAGAAATTGAGACACCCAATAAATAGGGTCACAAAAGATAGGGTATAGGCAGTGGTGTAGCGAGATCGGGTGTCACCCCCACAGAGGCGTAGCGACCCTTCCCGGGGACGAACTTTCAAATGTTTCGATTTGCACCCCCCCCCCCCTCAAGTTTTTCTCTATATATTTTGCTATTTTTTTGCCATGGTGTCAGCCGGTGCGGTCCGCACCCCCCCCCCCCCTCGCTACGCCTCTGGGTATAGGTATACTGTAATTTGCCATGGTGCATGGTAACTTTATTTCAACTTAGTACTAATTGTAACGAATGAAATTCGGATTTTACTTCTTTACTTATTTCGATGTAATAAGTTGAATAAATCTCTGAAAAAAGCGCAAGTCATGAAAACTGTCTCGGGAGACCCAGATTTCCCTTACTACGCTTGTTATGTTGTAGTGTGTGTATAGATGTACACGGTGAAGAATGTGTGTTAATCCTGTTCACTAGACGTAACAAGATTCGCCTGTGGATGTGGTATTGTGGGGTAGATAACATCCCTTGTTCATTACACGGAGATTGGGTTTTGGCTTTATATACTGTACTATCATGTGACTTCATCTGAGGGCATGTTATAACGGGATGTTCCTGTTCATTTAACCTGTCTGGTCGGGTTTAGTTACGGTTTAACCACAATTTTACAATGTTGTATTTGTAGCTTGTCTGGTCGCGTTAGTTTAGGTTTAACCACAATTTTACAATGGTGTATCTGTAACTTGTCTTGTCATATATTTTTTAGTTTAGGTTTAACCACAACTTTACAATGTTGTATATGTAACCTCCCTGGTCGGGTTTAGTTACGGTTAAACCACAATTTTACAATGTTGTATTTGTAACTTGTCTCGTCGCGTTAGTTTAGGTTTAACCACAATTTTACAATGGTGTATGTCTAACCTCCCTGGTCGGGTTTAGTTTAGGTTTAACCACAATTTTACAGTGTTGTATTTGTAGCTTTTCTGGTCAATTTTAGTTATGGTTTAATCACGACTTTTCTAGGTAACTTTGTGGTCGAGCTTTTCTGTGTAGTTGGTTCTGTCTGTGTGTGTCATGTTTTTGTTAACATAAAACTGAAGTTTTCACGTTTTGTTGGTCACGTGATTCCCTACATGCATGTGCCCATAAATTATTCTTACCTCAACATCACATGCCTTTGTTCTACTAAATCTTGAAATGCAACGTTACCGACCATATTGTTTACTTAGAACTGGGTATTGGCTTAGGCATGTTAGTACGAATTAAATTAAGAGAATCTCTGCATTACTTTTAAAATACAGTTGTTTGAAATTAGTGTGTTTGCTACACACCAATAGTCAACTACGTATTATGTTATTTATTTTATAAAAGATTACCACATCAAACGGCAGCTATTTCCTATTGGTTCTAGGGGAGGCACGAAATGATTTACAGAAATGATAAACTTGCGAAGTTTTCTGATAGATAAATATTCAGTTTAAAACAGAGGGTTAGCATGAGATTATTAGGGCCTATTGGGAATAAAAATTATGACATTTTTAACGTCGATTTACAAAGATAAATTACTATTTGAATAAAGTAAACCCTGCTGAATTAAAGTAATTAGTATAATCATTTCACTGTAGCGGTTTACAAGCATAAATTGAATATTAATTTATCTAATCTGTTTAATCATCATTTTTATTCATGTTCGCTCCTTGAGGAACATTGTGCCTCCGTTAAAGCTGTCCACTCTCTCTGCCATTTTTTTCCCAGCTGTTCCAAAATCCTTCATATCATCCAGCACGCTACGACGCCTTGTCTTCTTGGGTCAACCTCTCCGTCATTTGCTCTGACGGATAGCATTCCATCCAAGGCCTGTTTAGCTCTGTTGTCAGTATTTTTTTCTAAGCGTGGGACCGATCCAACGCCACTTGCATTCCATGATTTGTCTTTCTGTTGTTTTATATATGTACACATCTCCAATAGTTTTCCATTTTTCTATCTTCTCTAGTCGTTGCATTTTTAATATATTTGTTCTTAAAGGCATTGATTCCTTTTTTGTTGTTGTCGCAGATGTTCTTCATGTCTCGGATCCGTAGAGCAGGACTGCTTTAATGTTGGTTTTAAAGATTCGTTAAGCTATTTGACTTTTTTTTACAAGTCAAAGTAACCAAGGGAGACAACATTTAAAACTTTTCCTAAAAGTCGTTAAAAATTCAAAGATATTTAATAGTAATAAAATTAATAGAATTGATTATTATGTTGTGTAACATAATTGTTGAATAAAAAAAAAAAGACTGTCTATTTCTGGTTGTTCTTAGATATTCATAGTATCATTTGACTATAGTCTAAAATAGAAAACCTTTAGCGGAATAATACAGTAAATTTGAAGACTTCTGAATGTTATATAGACTTTTGCATTGTATTTGGGGATGATTCTTCTACGAAATTGTTTTTTAGACTCGTCAAAATTTTATTTGCAGAAAATTCTGTGTTAATAGTAATAATAGTATAGTAAAGCGATGCACCCGCTCATTTACACCTCAAAAAGCTTCATCATTTGCCCAAACAAATACAAGTTTTATTATATGTAACATTTTGTGAGGCATTAGGATGGTCACTGCGAGGACGCCAAGAGTTTTAAGGGACAAAATTTTCTTTACCAGCAATAGATTTAGATTTCAAAATATGTGAAGCGGAATCGGTTTAGATTTTAAAATACGCAAAGGAAAAAATGGCTAGAAAAAAAAGATTGAAAAAAAAATCAAACAAATCCCTGAAGCTAGTGTAAGAAAATAGATTCTATGTTGTGTCAGTATATCTGAGTCATAGTTCTTAATCGGTCATGCTATGGTGCTTTCCTGTTCTTTTTTTTTTCGACGTGTTCTTAAAATTTTAGATGCATTTTTTTTATATCTTCTAAAAAAAAATATAATCTACCGTTTCATCTCTATACTGGCTATGTTTGTAATTCATGTTCCCTACACTTGATACGTTTTATATTTCATGGCTTATTTCTCACCGTCTCCACAATTTCGTCTACTGCTCTATTTTCTTACGAGCTGTATTAAAGATCTTGTCTGGGTTTATAAAAAAAAAAAAAAACCTCAGACCTCGTTGAACAAAGGCCAGTACAGCGGTATATCTTGCACATCTATAGAACACGATATTGCCCAGATCTGTCATCAATGTAAGGACGAGCTGTTAACTTGGCTTGCTGAGAGGTGTTCCGTAGACTTCCATTCAGTCCGGTGCTTACACGAACAGTCATGTGTGTGGCTGACGGTTAATTGCGTGAATAAAGTGATACTTCAGTGGTTTGGAAGTAAGGAACTTGAGAGAAAAAGGACCCGAAAAGGGAGTTTTAATGAACCTAGTCTATACTTATTGCGGGTGTGATTGTTGGTGTCTCGAAAGCCAATGGGGGAGTTTGATTTGAACTTAGTCCATACCTAGTGCTGGTATGATTGTTGGTGTGTTTTAAATGTAAAAGGGGGAGTTTCATTGAACTATACCTATTGCTAATGTGGACGTTAGTGTTTTTTATTAAACCAAATGGGTTTTTCAATGAGCTAAATCTATACATAGTGTTAGTAGGATCGGTGGAGTTTATAAAATACGCCAAATGGTGTTTTAATGAGCTTCCATAGCCGCTGTCTATCCACCAACAAACTATCAGTTTTCTGTCCTAGATGGGTTGCTGTCCCCAGCTATATAGCCTTATCTGCCCAAAGGTTCGCTTTAGCAACCAGGATATTTACCGAGCCGAAGTTTAAGGACAAAGCCATTATTGTGGCTTTATCGGAAGGTGGTTCAACTCACACCCATAGTGGTATTGTGATAGTTCTTTTTTTATATGCCGTAGGGATGATTTGATGAACTTGGTCAGCGTATGTGATTGTTGGGCTTGTTCATACTGGAAGAGTGTTTTTGACGAGTGTCTGCTATCGTGTGACCATGTTGGCTACGTAGAAATGGTCACGTCTCCTACATGGGTGATGGTTTACATGTAGTAGATCTAGTTCTTAGTGCGCTGCACAGAAAGTCTAATAAAAAGTTTTCGTGTGTATGTTATATATATATATATATATATATATATATATATATATATATATATATATATATATATATATATATATACAGTTTTTGTTATGTTAGAATGTATATATGGTCCACCCCCTACCACCACCATTCCCCAACGAAACCGTTGCTTATGTCAGACCAGATATTGCCAGTACAAGCAACATGAAAAGCTGGCTGAATCCACCACCCACGTACCACCGAGCACATACATCTTGTACCGGCAGTGGTTCACTGAATAGCCTACCCGTTCGACCGGAACATAGGAAGAGTGGGGGAGGGGGGGATCTTACCCCGGCATGAATGAAGGAAATCTACACATGAATGAATGTTATGTACCACGTGATGTTACACTCCATACAAGTGACTGACACTAGGGAGGGGGGGGGGGGTGTTTGGTGCCAACTGTCTGTATGAAGGAGGACGAGATCAGGCAATGTTTACATACAATAAACACTACTTTAGGAAGGTCTAGGGGGACTGTGGTAGATTTAATTAATCTTAAGCGAGAGTTGCCCGTGGGCGTTTATTCATTTCGCCCTGGGATTTTTTTTATATATATTATTTTGTAAAGTTGATTTAGCAAAGTTAGTTTGAGTATTGACGAAATTAAAAAAAAAATTGTATCAAGAGATTTTTTTAAAATTCTCGATACTGGACGTCAGAAATGTGTGTGTGGTAATCACATAAGACATAATGTCCTAATTGTTGAGCATACAAATTGAAGTAAATTTCTGGCGTACTACCAAAAGCATTGACGTCCTTTTTTACCGAATGACCAGGCACACACATGTAACTGTAACCTAAACGCAGCGTTCGCCTAGATAAACGAGGGCTACGAGTGAAACATTCTACATAAGCTCTTAGAATATTTTAATTATAACGTAAAGAAATGTCCAAATACATTGTAATTTCGGGCTGCATGTATAGTATCTAAATTTACTTATACACGGAGCCTTAAATTTACTAACATACGTGGTTGCTAATTTACCTAAATTTTAGGTTTCATGTGTTCATAAGTATATGGCGTTAAAATTTGCCAGCATTCAATTAGCTTGTAAACCAATTTATCAAACTACCAGGCTTTCTACTTTACCTAACTATCTGGCACTTAATCTCACATAAATTCTGGGCATACAAATTATCAGCAATAAAAAAAATATACCGGTATTTATTGCAAGGTGTACATTTAAACCTTAAACAGCTAGACATCTAATTTCCCTACTGAAATACAAGAGCCCCCATGTACAACAACAAAGAAAGTATTCTGAAACTCCTCGACCACCACTCGCGACACGTCCCAGATAAATCTGGTACAAACGGCTCCATCAGGGGACTTGTCACCCAATAAATAATCCCCCAGTCAAAGAGCTTTCGCATCGCCCTCGTCTTAATCTCGTCTCATGCTGAGAGGACCCGAGCTTCACACGGTTAGTCTTTACTACAACAAAGGTGTCGGTCTTTTGCTAAGTTGGGCACACGTGTAAGTAGTTGTTGGATGGTTGGAGTTACTACAACAAAGGTGTCGGTCTTTTGCTAAGTTGGGCACACGTGTAGCTTTGTAAGTAGTTGTTGGATGGTTGGAGTTACTACAACAAAGGTTTCGGTCTTTTGCTAAGTTGGGCACACGTGTAAGTAGTTGTTGGATGGTTGGGTTACTACAACAAAGGTTTCGGTCTTTTGCTAAGTTGGGCACACGTGTAAGTAGTTGTTGGATGGTTGGAGTTACTACAACAAAGGTTTCGGTCTTTTGCTAAGTTGGGCACACGTGTAAGTAGTTGTTGGATGGTTGGAGTTACTACAACAAAGGTTTCGGTCTTTTGCTAAGTTGGGCACACGTGTAAGTAGTTGTTGGATGGTTGGAGTTACTACAACATAGGTGGCGGTCTTTTGCTAAGTTGGGCACACGTGTAAGTAGTTGTTGGATGGTTGGAGTTACTACAACAAAGGTTTCGGTCTTTTGCTAAGTTGGGCACACGTGTAAGTAGTTGTTGGATGGTTGGAGTTACTACAACAAAGGTTTCGGTCTTTTGCTAAGTTGGGCACACGTGTAAGTAGTTGTTGGATGGTTGGAGTTACTACAACATAGGTGGCGGTCTTTTGCTAAGTTGGGCACACCAACTGCTAACCCCATATTAATCCGCTTATGCCACCCCTTAAATCCGTCACGCTCACCTAATTAATCCACCAATGCTACCCCCATACTAATCCGCTTGTGCCACCTCTAAATCCGCTAGAACCCTCTGCTTAATCCGGCACATTCACCTCATTAATCCGCTACTGCCTCGCCCCCTAACATAACTAGAGCCACGTACCCCATCAAGAGCATGCACCAAGACATCAGCGGAAACCTCCGGCCCCAACCTTTGTTTTCCCCATCCAATTAACCTTTGTGTTTCTTCCTTTGATCTCATCCTGTTGGGGACCAGCGTGTACATGGTGGGGGGAGATAGGCGAGCTGCACTATCAGTGGTGGTGGGTGGGACTTATGCATTGAAGAATTGTTAGAATTCTGTGTTAGACTAGTTAGGGACATCGATGTGACGAATCTAATTTAAGGTCAAGAATATGAATACTGATCAGTAGCCATGTCCGGTGAATTTAAAATACTTGGTTGTTTATTGGAAAGTGTGTTTTTAGTTGATATCATTACATTTAAATTATATTTACTTTTAAAAGAAAGTCTTGATAGTTCTTATCAGGGGTGGGCTGTCTATGTACAAGACGTCTGGGAAATTTAAAAATTGCCCCCCCACCCCCCCAATCCCAGATGGAAATTTCTTTTATTGTGCATAATTTCTCCACCAAACTCCAAAATTTTACGCCTTGGCATGAAGGAATGTTAAAGTACCAACAATAAAAAACGAATCAAAACACCAATAGGACTATTACAGCACAGTTCCTGGGGGCTCACCAAGATTTTCCCCGGTAGACCGGCTGCCCAGTCCACCCCTGGTTCTTATCATCAAGCACAGTGTTTCCAATAAGTTTAGAAAACTCAACTGTGTATATCCCCGTTGGAATCGGTTGTTATATAATAGTTATTTTATTGTACATGTGGTCTAAAACCACACCTACATATTATAAATTGTTCGTGTTCTTACCTTGTCCAGATATCGTGACGAGACCTAACGTCAGCACCAGTAGCTGACCACACGCGACTGTGTATCCCATAGTTTCAAACTTTTTTTTTCTTATAACGTCCAAAATATCCACTTCCGACCACGAATCCTAAGCTAGCGCCGGGTGTAAAAGTCTCCCTCCCCGCTAAAGTTGTACTGACTTGTGTGTTCACCGTGTTCTCATAGGTCCCATCAGTGCCGGCATGATCTGAAATAGACGAGACCGTTTTAAACTGTGTCCTAAACCGCTACACTCTACACCCTTGTATGCCTAAGAGAAAAATAAAGTATTGATGTTACGATCAACGCCGATGTTAATCCCGTTGTAGGCCTGTTCAGTATGTAACATATCGTTGACCGGTGCTATAGTGGATCTATAGCGAGTAGAAAAAATACCACCCTTTCGAACCTGTTGGTCCATGGGGCAAGTGAAGTAGAGTTCACCTGATCTCGGCATATAAGGGATAGTGTGAATGTGAATCCCGTTGCAGAACTGTTTATTATTATGTCTGTGATCAGTGCTATAGTGGATCTATACTTGTCAAATAAAATTGTTCTAAGCCGACCAAAGCTATACTTTATATAGCAATCCAGTTATTTAACTGACCTCCCGCTACAAAAACAAACCCCCCAATTTGTATCGCCCCCCCCCCCCCCCCCCCCCCCCCCAATTATCGAATGACATGGGAGGGCCGTTTACGCCAGTTTCAGCCTGAGCCCTTCTTGATAAATAAATCTTTTGGCCAGTCCCCGTGTACAAGCCATCTAGCGTTCACGTTGATGAGCTGTTTGCCTCAAGTTGATGAGCCGTTAGCCTCGAGTTGATGAGCCGTTTGCCTCAAGTTGATGAGCCGTTAGCCCCGAGTTGATGAGCCGTTCGCCTCGAGTTGATGAGCCGTTTGCCACAAGTTGATGAGCCGTTCGCCTCGAGTTGATGAGCCGTTTGCCACAAGTTGATGAGCCGTTGGCCACAAGTTGATGAGCCGTTTGCCACAAGTTGATGAGCCGTTGGCCACAAGTTGATGAGCCGTTGGCCACAAGTTGATGAGCCGTTGGCCACAAGTTGATGAGCCGTTGGCCACAAGTTGATGAGCCGTTGGCCACAAGTTGATGAGCCGTTTGCCACAAGTTGATGAGCCGTTGGCCACAAGTTGAAGAGCCGTTGGCCACAAGTTGATGAGCCGTTGGCCACAAGTTGATGAGCCGTTTGCCACAAGTTGATGAGCCGTTGGCCACAAGTTGATGAGCCGTTGGCCACAAGTTGATGAGCCGTTTGCCACAAGTTGATGAGCCGTTGGCCACAAGTTGATGAGCCGTTTGCCACAAGTTGATGAGCCGTTGGCCACAAGTTGATGAGCCGTTTGCCACAAGTTGATGAGCCGTTGGCCACAAGTTGATGAGCCGTTTGCCACAAGTTGATGAGCCGTTGGCCACAAGTTGATGAGCCGTTGGCCACAAGTTGATGAGCCGTTTGCCACAAGTTGATGAGCCGTTAGCCCCGAGTTGATGAGCCGTTAGCCTCGAGTTGATGAGCCGTTAGCCTCGAGTTGATGAGCCGTTCGCCTCGAGTTGATGAGCCGTTTGCCACAAGTTGATGAGCCGTTAGCCCCGAGTTGATGAGCCGTTCGCCTCGAGTTGATGAGCCGTTAGCCCCGAGTTGATGAGCCGTTAGCCTCGAGTTGATGAGCCGTTAGCCTCGAGTTGATGAGCCGTTAGCCCCGAGTTGATGAGCCGTTAGCCTCGAGTTGATGAGCCGTTAGCCCCGAGTTGATGAGCCGTTAGCCTCGAGTTGATGAGCCGTTAGCCTCGAGTTGATGAGCCGTTAGCCCCGAGTTGATGAGCCGTTAGCCTCGAGTTGATGAGCCGTTAGCCTCGAGTTGATGAGCCGTTAGCCCCGAGTTGATGAGCCGTTAGCCCCGAGTTGATGAGCCGTTCGCCTCGAGTTGATGAGCCGTTAGCCCCGAGTTGATGAGCCGTTAGCCCCGAGTTGATGAGCCGTTAGCCTCGAGTTGATGAGCCGTTAGCCTCGAGTTGATGAGCCGTTAGCCTCGAGTTGATGAGCCGTTAGCCTCGAGTTGATGAGCCGTTAGCCTCGAGTTCATGAGCCGTTAGCCTCGAGTTCATGAGCCGTTAGCCTCGAGTTGATGAGCCGTTAGCCTCGAGTTGATGAGCCGTTAGCCTCGAGTTGATGAGCCGTTAGCCTCGAGTTGATGAGCCGTTAGCCTCGAGTTGATGAGCCGTTAGCCTCGAGTTGATGAGCCGTTAGCCTCGAGTTGATGAGCCGTTAGCCTCGAGTTGATGAGCCGTTAGCCTCGAGTTGATGAGCCGTTAGCCTCGAGTTGATGAGCCGTTAGCCTCGAGTTGATGAGCCGTTAGCCTCGAGTTGATGAGCCGTTAGCCTCGAGTTGATGAGCCGTTAGCCCCGAGTTGATGAGCCGTTAGCCCCGAGTTGATGAGCCGTTAGCCCCGAGTTGATGAGCCGTTAGCCTCGAGTTGATGAGCCGTTAGCCTCGAGTTGATGAGCCGTTAGCCTCGAGTTGATGAGCCGTTAGCCCCGAGTTGATGAGCCGTTAGCCCCGAGTTGATGAGCCGTTAGCCCCGAGTTGATGAGCCGTTCGCCTCGAGTTGATGAGCCGTTCGCCTCGAGTTGATGAGCCGTTAGCCTCGAGTTGATGAGCCGTTTGCCACAAGTTGATGAGCCGTTAGCCTCGAGTTGATGAGCCGTTAGCCTGGAGTTGATGAGCCGTTAGCCCCGAGTTGATGAGCCGTTAGCCCCGAGTTGATGAGCCGTTCGCCTCGAGTTGATGAGCCGTTCGCCTCGAGTTGATGAGCCGTTAGCCTCGAGTTGATGAGCCGTTTGCCACAAGTTGATGAGCCGTTAGCCTCGAGTTGATGAGCCGTTAGCCTGGAGTTGATGAGCCGTTAGCCCCGAGTTGATGAGCCGTTAGCCTCGAGTTGATGAGCCGTTAGCCTCGAGTTGATGAGCCGTTAGCCTCGAGTTGATGAGCCGTTAGCCCCGAGTTGATGAGCCGTTAGCCTCGAGTTGATGAGCCGTTAGCCTCGAGTTGATGAGCCGTTAGCCCCGAGTTGATGAGCCGTTAGCCTCGAGTTGATGAGCCGTTAGCCTCGAGTTGATGAGCCGTTAGCCTCGAGTTGATGAGCCGTTAGCCCCGAGTTGATGAGCCGTTAGCCTCGAGTTGATGAGCCGTTAGCCTGGAGTTGATGAGCCGTTAGCCTGGAGTTGATGAGCCGTTAGCCTCGAGTTGATGAGCCGTTCGCCTCGAGTTAATGAGCCGTTAGCCTCGAGTTGATGAGCCGTTAGCCCCGAGTTGATGAGCCGTTAGCCTCGAGTTGATGAGCCGTTAGCCCCGAGTTGATGAGCCGTTAGCCTCGAGTTGGATTAATGTCCCTGCGCGACAGCCTCACGCAAGTAACAACCTCCCCCCGTCCTTGACCTTGTACAGACAAGATAACCAGGTGGGGGGGAGGCACGCAGGTAACGAGGCAGCCATCCCGTAGTAAACTTTTACCTGAGGGTTACATGTGCTCAAAATATGGTCCTTTTGTTTTTCCCCCCTGAACACCCGGTGTTCTTTTAGAGCATATGGACGTGAGGGAAGACAGGTGAGCGTTAGCTTTACGGCATAGGTAGCATTACATCCATACCAGGTGTCATATTGCATCCATCCCTGACGTCACATTACATCCATACCTGACGTCACATTACATCCAATACCAGACGTCACATTACACAGAGATCCATAAACAACGCTTAGCCCATTTTACACCAACACATTACGAGTCACAGACCCCTAAATTGTATCTTATAAATAATCCTAACTGTAACAAAAATTAACCTTTCTCATCATTTTGTTGTTGTTTTTTTTTTTTTTTTAAATTAAAAACACACATTATTGGCTACACACATTTCTAGCTTTTCCATCTGCCACCCGTAGCCGAACGTTCCTTAAGTCAGAACCTCCCAGTATTGGTGCTGACGTCACTGGTGGATTGACCCCCCCCCCCCTCTTACTGGCACCAATACATCTTAATGTAAACTTGCAACATAAATCCTGATGTAAACTTGCAACATAAATCCTGATGTAAACTTGCAACATAAATCCTGTTGTAAACTTGCAACATAAATCCTGTTGTAAACTTGCAACATAAATCCTGATGTAAACTTGCAACATAAATCCTGCAACCTAAATCTTGGTGTAAACTTCCTACATTCCAACACCCCATACGTGGCAGTTAAGCGTCAGTGTTTAAGATGTAGGATTTGCCTTTGTGAAGCTATGCGTTACTAATTCTCATATATCTGACCTAAATCATAAAGTAATGAATAATACCGCTTCGATGGCCATCGCTATCCTTTCATGGACCTGTAGCTATATAGCTAAATTACTGTGTGTTTATATATATATATATATATATATATATATATATATATATATATATATATATATATATATATATCGTACTGGATTAACTACTTCGTTGATGTGTCCCTATTCTCTTTTGTTAGAGATTTTACTTGGAGTCTAGGGCGCTGGTAATCTTGTACATTGGTTGTGTATTGTATAACATGACATTGGTCAACTTCTAGATTCCTGTCCCAATGATTTACCTGATACTAGCAGTACAACTGATGATGCTCATGTAGGTTCCTGTCCCAATGATTTGCCAAATACTAGCAGTACAACTGATGATAATCATGTAGGTTCCTGTCCCAATGATTTACCTAATACTAGCAGTACAACTGATGATAATCATGTAGGTTCCTGTCCCAATGATTTGCCAAATACTAGCAGTACAACTGATGATAATCATGTAGATTCCTGTCCCAATGATTTACCTGATACTAGCAGTACAACTGATGATAATCATGTAGGTTCCTGTCCCAATGATTTACGAAATCCTTACAGTACAACTGATGATACTCATGTAGGTTCCTGTCCCAATGATTTACGAAATCCTTACAGTACAACTGATGATAATCATGTAGGTTCCTGTCCCAATGATTTACGAAATACTAACAGAACAACTGATGATAATCATGTAGGTTCCTGTCCCAATGATTTACGTAATACTAGCAGTACAACTGATGATAATCATGTAGGTTCCTGTCCCAATGATTTGCCAAATACTAGCTGTACAACTGATGATAATCATGTAGGTTCCAGTCCCAATGATTTACCAAATACTAGCTGTACAACTGATGATAATCATGTAGGTTCCTGTCCCAATGATTTGCCAAATACTAGCAGTACAACTGATGATAATCATGTAGGTTCCTGTCCCAATGATTTACGAAATACTAACAGAACAACTGATGATAATCATGTAGGTTCCTGTCCCAGTGACTTACGTATCACTAGCAGTACAACTGATGATAATCATGTAGGTTCCTGTCCCAATGATTTACGAAATACTAACAGAACAACTGATGATAATCATGTAGGTTCCTGTCCCAATGATTTACGAAATACTAACAGAACAACTGATGATAATCATGTAGGTTCCTGTTCTTATATCACACCCAACCAGGCACGTCTTGCGGTTAAGATTTCAACTCATCACTTTAGGGGAAATTAAAGTTACACGTGTGTAGCAAGGCTCAAGATAAGTCTGATAATACGTCTTAGGTGAAGTTTCTACTAAACTAAGATGGTCTTTATATGTCTGTGGTGAAGTCTCCACTAAACTAAGATGGTCTTTATATGTCGGTGGTAAAGTCGCTACTAAACTGAGATGGTCTTTATTTGTCGATGGTAAAGTCACTACTGAACTTAGATGGTCTTTATATGACGGGGGTAAAGTCGCTACTAAACTAAGATGGTCTTTATATGTCGGTGGTAAAATCGCTACTAAACTGAGATGGTCTTTATATGTCGGTGGTAAAGTCGCTACTAAACTGAGATGGTCTTTATTTGTCGATGGTAAAGTCACTACTGAACTTAGATGGTCTTTATATGACGGGGGTAAAGTCGCTACTAAACTAAGATGGTCTTTTTTAAGTCAGTGGTAAAGTCGCTACTAAACTATGGTCTTTTTATGTCGGTGGTAAAGTCACTACTAAACTGAGATGGCCTTTTTTATGTCGGTTGTAAAGTCGCCACAGAACTAAGATGGTCTTATTATATCAGTGGTAAAGTCTCTACTAAACTGAAATGGTCTTTTTTATGTCGGTTGTAAAGTCGCCACAGAACTAAGATGGTCTTATTATATTAGTGGTAAAGTCTCTACTACACTGAGATGGTATTTATATGGTATAAAGCTGCCACTCTTTGTTGTGAACGTGGTGTCGGTGGAAACAACCTTAATTATACCAAGTAAATGGTAATGTTGGTTTGGTCCTATCGATACAACACAATATTACACTATATGAATTTGTCTTGAAAGAAGTTTTTGTCTTATTTCAAAGTAACGATTTGATTTGTTTTTAAAAAGTTTCTGTTTAGTTAAAATATCTAGCGACAAAAATGCGTTTTTTTTTTTTTCTTCTTTTTTTTTCTTATATTTTATATAGTTGAAATAAGGTTAAAACCAGTGTAATGTTGTCGTCTTCCGTCTCCTTCAGGTATCATATATGTTCGTATCCGCACTGAAGCCCATTAAAATAAGTTGCGTGTTTTTATACAAACTGTTACACTACGTCAGGAGATGTATATTGCCTAGCGCTACCTTATCTACAGATCTAACCTTATTGCGTTACGCGACCAAGTCATCAGTGTTTAAATATTCTTTTATTTAAAATTATATTCAAAATTAAACGAAACAAATTTGAATTAAAAGCAAGTTTGTAAATACGAATTTTTGCCTACTTGTGCTTTTTTTTTTTAACCGTTGAAAAATATTTGTAAGAAACTTACAGTTTTCAACATATCTCCTTTATAAATTAGAGAAACGTGAACACGTGTTAGTGTAATAAATATTGGTAAACTTACCTGTTGCTGATCCACTTTTACAGAACGGGTCACAATGGTGTCTGGCATGACCGTCAAAACACCACAACTCTCGTCTGCCAACTCTCAGTGACTTCCCCTCTTCACACTTTGTGTGTGTGTGTGGCGGTACACAGCCAAGCTTGTCTGCTGTGGGGCTTTAGGAAGGCGCGTCTTTAATGAAGAAAATATTATGCACATAATATAATATAGATCTATAGCCGGGGTGCAAGTATAACCCGGGTGGGGGGGGGGGGGGTCATTGTCTTTTTTTTATGCATAAGTAATTTATAACGAAACGTTTTTTTTCTATGTGAAAGAGTTATCGTTCTTACCTGGTTTCTTCCTCGGGGCTGTTTAAATTTACTCAGATTTGTGTAATTTAAATAAAAAATGTTAGCCCACTTTGTGACAGAATGTATGCATACGTGTGTCGCAGTTTTGTGTTAGCTTTAGTCTCGGTATACTTACTGTAAGTCACGTGGTAAGCCAACGGTTTTTTTTTTTGGGGGGGGGGGGAGGGATTCGGTTGTCAAAAGTAAATTCTATTGTGCACTTTTTTTTTTTTTTGACAAGAGTGACAGATTATTTTTATGAAGTGTGTGGTTGAAACTCAGAGTGGCTTCCCTTTCCTGTGGCATTAGCATAACTTTTTTGTGAAGTTTTTATAACTAAGTCTTGGGGGGGGGGGGGGGGGGTTAGTGTTATTTTTTTTAAGCTTGCGTGGGGTTTTTCCCCCTTTCCATACAGGTTAAGATCAAATGTTGCTCTATCCTCTAATCAAACGACTGTGTGGGCTCTTTCTGTCGTCGTTAGTTTCGTCGTTGCGCGCTGTGAATGTTTTAATAACTGTACGGTGTTCCTAGTTAGTGTCACATTTTGATACAGTTGAAATGTGACATTTTGATACAGTTGAAATGTGACATTTTCATAGTTGAAATGTGACATTTTCATACAGTTTAAGTGTCACAATTTGATACAGTTGAAATGTCACAATTTGATAAAGTTGAAATGTCACGATTTGATACAGTTGAACTGTCACATTTTGATAAAGTTGAAGTTTCACATTTTGATACAGTTGAAGTGTCACATTTTGATACAGTTGAATTGTCACATTTTGATTAAGTTGAAGTGTCACATTTTGATACAGTTGAATTGTCACATTTTGACACAGTTGAACTGTCACATTTTGACACAGTTGAACTGTCACATTTAGATACAGTTGAATTGTCACATTTTGATTAAGTTGAAGTGTCACATTTTGATACAGTTGAATTGTCACATTTTGACACAGTTGAACTGTCACATTTAGATACAGTTGAACTGTCACATTTAGATACAGTTGAACTGTCACATTTTGATACAGTTGAACTGTCACATTTTGATACAGTTGAACTGTCACATTTTGATACAGTTGAAATGTCACATTTTGACACAGTTGAACTGTCACATTTTGATACAGTTGAACTGTCACATTTTGATACAGTTGAACTGTCACATTTTGATACAGTTGAACTGTCACATTTTGATACAGTTGAACTGTCACATGTTGATACAGTTGAACTGTCACATTTTGACACAGTTGAACTGTCACATTTTGACACAGTTGAACTGTCACATTTTGATACAGTTGAACTGTCACATTTTGATACAGTTGAACTGTCACATTTTGATACAGTTGAAGTGTCACATTTTGATACAGTTGAACTGTCACATTTTGATACAGTTGAACTGTCACATTTTGATAAAGTTGAAGTGTCACATTTTGACACAGTTGAACTGTCACATTTTGACACAGTTGAATTGTCACATTTTGATACAGCTGAAGTGTCACATTTTGATAAAGTTGAAGTGTCACATTTTGACACAGTTGAACTGTCACATTTTGACACAGTTGAATTGTCACATTTTGATACAGTTGAAGTGTCACATTTTGATACAGTTGAATTGTCACATTTTGATAAAGTTGAAGTGTCACATTTTGACACAGTTGAACTGTCACATTTTGACACAGTTGAATTGTCACATTTTGATACAGTTGAAGTGTCACATTTTGATAAAGTTGAAGTGTCACATTTTGATAAAGTTGAAGTGTCACATTTTGACACAGTTGAACTGTCACATTTTGACACAGTTGAATTGTCACATTTTGATACAGTTGAAGTGTCACATTTTGATACAGTTGAATTGTCACATTTTGATACAGTTGAAGTGTCACATTTTGACATTGTGTTAGTTGCCCGAGTCCACATCTAAAAGTAAATAGTTTGTTTATCCATTTAGGTTGTAGCTAATAGAATTATTTTTCGTAGGCACATGTTGTGGTATAGGAACACATCGCTGTTGATGTTTTGTTTCCTTCACTTTGAATGCTCGTAGAACATTGTAAAAAAATGTGACGGTAGAGCTTTTTTTTTTTTTACATCTTAGCACTGGTGTTAGTGATTCTATGGGTTTGGTGTGTGTAGAGGGGGGGGGGTGTAAATTTTCCTTTCATGCCAGATAATCCGTGGCGCAAATGAAGCATGATTCATTGGATTTTGTGATTTTGGTATTTACAGATATTGTGTTGTCAGCGCCTATTAGTAAAGCTAGAGATGGGTCAAGCTTTTAATGTTGAATTTGGTTTAGTTAGCCGTGTTTATATTGTTTAAAGGTGTTTTTATTATCTAGTTTTGAAGGTGGTTCACTTTGCAATCTGCTTAAAAATGTATTTTAATTACGATCTAGTTTAAATATGTTTTAATTACCATCAAGATCTAGTCGAACGGTGTTATTAATCAAGAATAGTACAATTTTGAGGCTGGGTTCTTAAGGTGAATCCACTTCTAAAACGTGTGATCTAAGCCTAAAACACAGGGCACAGTAGGACAGCTGAGCTGGGGACCCAAAGTTCAACGGCTTCCTTCTTTCTTCCTCCTGTCCCCCGTCTCGTACTCGTCGTTTCCCCCCACCCCCTCCCTCCTTCCTCCCCGCCATGAAATGTATGTATTTTGTTTTTACCTCGTTTAAGTAAACACACCAGGCTGGGGGAAAAAAGGTCATGAGATGTTGTTGACCACCCAAAATGTCGTTTTGTAGTTTGTAAAAAAAAAAAAAAAAAAACCTAACAAAGAGATAATTAACTCAGATAACTGTGAAATAAAGCTTTCTCTTACCTGCTGAGTAGTTGTTAGAGTTTGGGATACGAATGAAGCTTCCAAAATCAGTTCGGTAAATAAGGACAACGATTCTGTTTACTTTTATGGATCCTGTCTAACAGTCTTCAATCCCATTGCGTGTATTTAATTTAGACATAAATGACAACTCTAAGCTTATTCCGCTCCGATCAAAATAGCGCGAATGTAAGTTTGGCAAAAGCTCAAGAATTTGTTCTGGCAACACTACCCGCTTGTTTGTATGACCACTTTAGCAGTAAAGTTGTTGTGTCTGGTCAAACGTAGAGAAGTAAGACATTATTAAGTGCTGCCCGGTGTTCACAAAGCATACTGACAGCTGTTACTGGCTTCTTGTGGCTAGTAACTATGACCCCACCGACTTATTTAGTTTTCTCGCTAGTGCCGACCTTTAACCTTTGCTATCTTGTACTAGATTCTAATTTGGAGTTTTTTTTTACTTGTCCCTTGGTTTAAAATTAAATTCTGCAGAAAATTTGGAGTAATTAAAAAACATGTTGCCATTTCAGCTGTTGAGTCATGGGTAAGAAGAAAGGCCGTCAGGGACAGAAGAAGCTGCAGGGTCAGAAGGCCAAAGTGGCCAAACAGGCCAAGAAAAATAAAGTGGTCAAAGCCAAGTCTAAGGCTAGAAAATCTCAGTCTAAAGCTGTCAAAACTAATTTGAAAAAGGTAATCCTTTGAAATTGCTTCTTCAACTGATTTGCCAATACTTTAATAAACCATTTTTCAGTTAACAATATCTAGTAATTGCAGTATAAATTATGGGTGGGGTTTTTTTTTCACTTTTTAATTTAATTAAAAACATTTTCTAACTTAGATTTATGGTACTATAGATTTTTTTTTTTTTTAAATTTAGTCTAATTATGCAGTACTCATTCAAATTGTTGCATGCAGCACTTGTGCAATAAATGTTTTAAAAAATTTGTTTAAATGAATCCCTTAAATTCTTGTCTTGTTCCTGATCAGATGACTTTCGACAACAGTAAAAAGATTGAAGTTCTGAATGCAGACATCACCAAAGTTTTGCTGGCTCCAGCCAAACTTCAGCTGTCTGCTTCAAGTCAGCCACAGCCAGTTGTAAGTTGTCGTTAGCCTTCAGATATCATTTTAAGTTTTAATATTTATTGTGTATATTTTAAATTTCTGCTAAGTTTTTTCTTTTGGAGAGGTGGGGGTGGGGGGTGTCTAAATGTCTAATGTTTCTGAACTAATCCTCCTTATAAAATAGTTAACTTTCTCACTGAAAGCAGGATTTGAAGGGATTCTGTGGTACCTCTTAAGTTGTCTGGTTCCCATCAGCAGTAGGTATATCAACATCAGAAACATATTTGATTCTAGAAGCAGACCTCTTCATAGTGGGCATACTGCTGACCACACTATTCCTTCATATGCCGAGATCACAGAAACAAGTGAACTCTACTTCACTTGCACCATGGACCAACAGGTTCAAAAGAGAACTTTAAAGTTATTTAAAGCTAACCTGTGTTGGGCCATGCCATTTGACCTTACAAAACAAAATTTTATTTGTATTTAAAACTACCCAAAGCTTAACTATTTCCAATGAAACAAATTTGATTTGTGTTTTTTATTTTCTGTCCAGAACAAAGCAGACAGAGATGAGGACATGCCTGATGTTGGATCAGTGGCACACAAGTTAGACCAAGCAGCTTTGTAGCCAAATCTCATCCCATCTAGCTCTTTTGTTCACACATGTAACATATGACATTATTGTCCTGATGATTAACCTGATATGTAGTTGACTCCCTGTGAATGTGGCTGAAGTTTTATTTTCTGTATGGATGATGATATTGACATTAAAAGATGTTTACATTTATGCCTGTTTTCTTCTTTGTTTTTTTTTTTGTAAAAAAAAAATTTACTGTTCCAACATTTACTTTTTTATTTAACACTGCATCCCTATGCAGCACAAGGAGTCCACAGAAATGATGGTGATGATTATTAAATCCTTTTCCGGTCAAATTACTAATTTATGACTGCAGATTAGAGCATAAAGTCATTTAGAACCTGTAGCTTCTAATGAGTTTCAATTGCTGAAGAAAAGAGTTTGTTTTGCTAGGTGACAATTGTTTACAAAAATATCAGAAAATTCTTCTCTCTATTTTACTGTTAACTTCCCACTTAAACATCACAGAAGAAGAAGAAAAAAACACTGGGTTGTAAAATAAAAAATAAAATTTTTAATAAAAATTATGAAACATTTTTTTTTTTTTTTTTTTTTTTGAAAATAAAGGTGGGTAAGGTGTCACCTATTAAAATGTCCTCTTTGGGGGAGGGTCCAGCCACTAAATAACTGCTTGTGAAAAATAAAAACAACTGATGGTTAACTCACTGACTTTATTTATTAAAATTAGAAAGTTACTTCACTATTAGCGATTGGTGCTGGAAACAGAGGTTAGAAACCTGATGATACCTTACTGTTTAACATTAGCAGCTGGGCTGAGGTCACAGAAACAAGTGAACTCTACTTCACTTGCCCCATGGACCATCAGGTTTAAAACTCAAAAGAATGGATATAGCAATACAAATATTTTAAAACTTTTCCTTTCACTTAAAAACAGTTCTCATTTTTGTAACCATACAGACGACCCTTTAAAAGACAAAGAAGGCCATTCATTAACAATGCAAAGCTGCTGGGGGGGGGGGAGAGAGGTGGGTTAATAGTATGATGTTGCACTTTTTTAAAAAGGTTATTTTAAAGAAAAAATTCAATCTGTTTTTTATAATTTTCAAATTAGAGTTTTATAAAAATAAATCAACAACTAATATTGATCGAAATTTGGTCGTTTTCAGTAGTAAATTTCCGTACTAAGGGAAACTACTTAATTAATATTTTACGTAAAATTGTCCTTGCTTTGTTATTCCCCTTAATAATACTAGGGAAAGACAGTTGGTCAGCTGAATATTTTGTGACGTCATTTTAGGGCGAGTCTAATTTTTTGTGACGACCTACAGTGCCTTAGGTAATTTTTTATAAAAGTTGTAGGTAGGTCTAATAGTTTTCTTCAATTTAATCTTCCTTGATATATTGTTTAAAGGGAAAGTACAAAAATAATACAATAAATATGTAAAAACAGAGTTACGATTCCTTGACTTGTCACATGACTAGTCAAAATGGCCGAGTTATCAACAGACAGCTTACAATCACAAAAAAGCTTAACTGAATCTGTTAATGATGAGATTAAAAATAATGAGCAAATCGTTACTGAGATTGCTACAGATTTCAGTAAATTTTTAAATTTTAATGTTGTAAAAGAGGTACAAAACATTTTAATTAAATAAAGTATGTTCAATGTACAAGTCTTAGTCAACTAACTTAGTAACTGCTAAGTAACTGGAGTCAGTTTCAGTTTCAGTTACTGTTACTGTTACTAGTCACTAGTGTTACTGTTACTTATTAAGTTATTATAATTTATTATATTACTTAATAGTTAATAGCATAGTAATACTATTACACAGACTTATACTTAGTAACTTTCTGACTTACTTAGTAATACTTACTCGACACTACGACTACACTACTACCTACACAATTACACAAACACAACTTCACTCATTTTAAATTTAACTCACTGTTCTTTCGCTACTGTAGGATAATGGACACGAGCGAGAAAAGTCTCAAAGGTATTTGAGAGGTGCATAAATTAATTTAAAAATCTTGCACGGCGTAGTTACAATTAATATGGTTATAAAATCCTGTCTTTCTGGTTATTTTTGGACTTTACTAAAGATTGGACGTATTTGATGTTTTTAATATTTTCGGTAACTAAATAAAATTTAAAAAAAAAGCAAAAACAATTTGGTTTTCACGTGTAATGGCGACATAAACAATGGCATCCTTCTATTGGATAGGCTGCCATAGATTTTATTGTACACATTGTAAGCTAAAAATAGAAAGCTAGGTCATGGGGTTTTAAATTTGCATTGTAATTTAAAAACTTGATCTGCAAAGTTTTGTAAACAAATAGTTATCGATCACTAAGTTACTGTACAGCCAATCAATATTTGTCTTACGAAAGTGAAACATCCGGTTATAACTTAGGCTTGATAAAAATAAATAGAAATGTAGCCTTAAACTCAACAAATTATTTTCAAGTTCTCTGGATTTGCAACTTTTATAGCATTTATTCTAAAAATATAAAATTTCTAAATTAATATTAGGCTTCAGTTTTTATTTTTTATTTTTTTTTACGGTCTAAATCTAAAAAGCACGTTTTTACTCCATGTCAACAACATTATAGAAGGAATCTCGTCAACTCGCTCGCCTCCATTTAAGCCTCTGATTTAATTTCTAGTGTCTTCAATGGATAGCATACTACAAAAAAAAATTGGCATGGATCAAAAGATAGTTCAACTAACTACTAGACTATAAGTATAAAATAAATAATATAGAAACGAAGTGACTCCTCGGAAAAAGATTTGGATGATTATAGATACCGGTGTCCGATAATGGGTTGTTAGTAGTATCGTAATCTCGACTAATTTTATGGTTAGAAATTAGAGTTAGGCGTATGGTAGGACCAGGGTTGGGGTTATGGTTAGGGACAGGGTTAGCACCGACATTAACCAGCCATGTGTGCATTTAGTTAACTACCACTAACCTAACACCCCTTTTTTTAATAACCTAACACCCCTTTTTTAAAATAAGATTCCATTATCGGACACCTGTGTTAACATTCTCCCAAAGGTTTTTTGCCCCAGCGTCTTCATTTGGTCAGCAAAAGATAGTTCTGCGGTGACCTTAATTTAATAGCTGAGCTAGGGTTAGGGTTCTGCGGTTTGCTTGTAAACACACGCATGCGCAGTACCATCGCAAACATCGCAACAAAGGAAAGTCATAGTTTCTCTTCATTGTGCATGCGTATCTTTTTTCAGCTAGAATCGGCCTATATAAAATAGACCTAACTAAGCTACTTTTAACTTTAGTTACCAACTTAAAAAAAAAATAAAAAATAAAGTTAGGCTACTATGATTACTAATAGGTAAACTATTCTGTTATTGTTAACAACAAACAATGCCACAATAAGAGCCTGATAAGATATGTAATTAAATGTTGTATTTTTTTTTATCATGCAGGAGAGTAAATTCAATGACAGTATTGAAATGATGCTAACCAAGTTGGATGAATATTTTTCACTTGTTGACATGGTGAGTGTACTTATGAGTTATATGTTTTAGTTTCTTACTTTAATCTGACTGGTTTAATATGTTATAGTAACTAGTCCAAAAAACATTTTAATTACATAAGATAAAAAGTGGTATCATTTTAGGACTTGATCACATCATACAATTTTCCTTAGTTCAAAGAAATATGTTTTCATTTTTTTTTTAATATTTACTACTTATTCATTTTTATTTAGCATCCTCACTGCCCATTAAAATGTAGGGTCAGCTTTGATCCCATTGCTGATTCTAATAGGGTTTTCTAAACTAGGGCATGATGGCCAAAGCAATTTGAAAATAGCATAATTTTGTAAACCTGTGCTACAATTGTTGTGACTTTGTATAACCGATGTGGATTTATTTTTTGTTTTTGTAGATTCGCAGTGATACATCTCTGTGCCTCTCCACAACTCTGCCACAGATACAAGAGAAATGTGTTGAGATGGAAGCTGTGTTTGAAAGGATTGATAAATTGGAGGTTGGTAATGATACTTTTTACCAAAACGGATACTTTTTGTAAATGTTCACAGCTATCTATTCACCATAGTTTAATTGTTTTAAACACAAAGGGAAGTAACTTTTTAAGGTCTTACATTACAGGCGTTTGTGAACATGGTAAGAGAATGTGTTGCAGCTACCGAGGAGAAGGTCACAAAAGCAGAAAATGACCTGACCACAGTGGGAGGACTGGTCAAGAAACTTACCTCATTTGTTTCTTTGGTAAGTCGTATGAACCAAATACTTTTGGAACACTATAACTATACTAGGCATGCTGCCCAGCTTCGCTTAGGCTTTCGAAAACATTGAGAATTTGAATGCTTAATTAATTCGTCCGAGGGTCGGTCTACGACCTCAGGAGTTATGAAGAGGCTCCTCCGTGGACATTTTTTTTCGATTTATAGCTCATATAAGGCGCCGGTCAGTCAAGGTCAGTTTTGACCCCATCATCGTAGACTTTTCGGCCAACCGGCCCCCGTGTTCTGTCGCCCCAAGGCAAGATCCTGCCAAATTTGAAGCACCTGCGGCGCCGGGAAGTGCCTTATCGGGCACCCGACAACTTTGCTTTATATATTATAGAGATTAGCAAATTGCATAGATAAACAAAGATTTCAATAAAGTAATTAAGGCCTGAAATACTTTAGTATAGAAATGTATTATTTGAATAGATGAATCTAGAATATCTAGATCTAGAATCCAAATAAATAAAATAAATTTTATGAGTTTAGGCCGGAAAAATTGTATTGTATACATTTCATAGTGTACGTAGATCTAAATCAAATTTGAATGAAATAGTTCATTTCTTTTATTCTAAACACGGCAGATGACGTCATTAGTTAATGTATAAGCAATAGTGACGTCACAGTTTTATGCGTTCTTTTTCACATCTATTAATGCTTTTCCGGTTGCATAAATAATACTGTTTCTCTACATTCGAATATGCCTTTAATTTTTATTTTTCTTCTTTAAATAAAATTGTGGTTATACATTTAAAACATCTAACATATTATTTTCAACAAAAGTCCATATAAAGTTCTCCATATATCGCTGCCGTTTCTGACGTGATATCCGGCGAAAATATTTTGCGGACAGACAGAGAGAGAGAGAGAGAGAGAGAGAAGTGCGCACATGGGGAATTATATATTAGGATAACAGAAGCCATTTGGCCACTTGCACTTTGTGTAAATGATAGGCCACACATTGATCCCACAATTTAGCCAAACCCCTCTTATGTTGTTACATCCCCTAAAGCAGTCCTTTAAAATCATGAAATCATCAAATTCCCCTCCACAGCCTACTATCATTCCCTTCATAGCTTACTACTAATCTCAGAACAAATAATCTTAAGTTACATGCCCCAAGTCCTATGTCTTTTTATTTTTTAATATATTAAATTTATAGAATATATTTCCTGTATTTTAAAAATAATAAGCAGTCTTTTAAATCTTGGTTACTTTGTTTACAAGATCTTGAGTCTCAAATGTCTGCAGATTCTAAAAATTAGCACATGATCTCAGTTAACAATATATTGTTTTCTCATGTAAAATTTTAACCTAGATTTTCCTTTGACTTCTAGCAGAAAAAGCCACCAGCACAAGCCAAGCCCAAGAAGCCAGAATTTATTCCAGCAAACATTTTTTCCACCCAAGAGTTTTTTCCACACCCTACTGCTGAAGATAAACAACAAGGGACATCACTGTCAGAAGAATTGAAACAGGGGACACCACTCTCAGAAGAATTGAAACAGGGGATACCACTGTCAGAAGAATTAAAACAGGGAACATCACTGTCTGATGAATTGAAACAGAGGACACCATTATCAGAAGAGTTGAAACAGGGGACACCACTGTCTGAAGAGTTGAAACAGGGGACATCACTGTCAGAAGAATTGAAACAGGGGACATCACTGTCTGAAGACCTTCCCATAGCTGACCCTCAAACATAGCACAATGATAAAATATATTTATTATATTCACAGTTTTGTTGATGAATTTATTATTACCATTTTTTAAAGCTATTGAAAGAATTTTTATTGTCGTCAAATAAAATGTTGATTTTCATTTGTATGTACCACAAAATCCTAGTACCAATTCAAATATACATATACTGAGCTTTATCGTTAGAATTGTATAACCTGTTTAATTTGAGTTTTTCATATTGGAAAACTATTAAATACTTGCCTATGTTCAAGCATTCTAAAATGATATTAAGGAAACCAGTGACTAAACAGACCAAAAAAAAAACAGTTCTCTGTATAACGATGTTTTTGTGAAAATGATTTTTTTAATATATTTATAATTGTTATGCTGTACTGGGTCGTGTATGATTTTGGTTAGGGGACTTAATCCAAAATATCCAACTGTTGAATTTATTGGTGCATTTACTGTTCTTGTTTTGTTGTTTACATTATGATCTCATCTATTTGTGTATAAATTAGGTGGACGTCTGTGTACGAATTATGTGTACATGTTGACTAATACCAGAATGACCATTCATGTCTTTGTTCTCTACTTGTTAGAATTAAAATAAAATTTAAAATTGTTTCTTCACAAAAAAATGGGTTTTTTTTTTTTGGTTTTTCTTAAATAACTTGTAAGCTAATAAAATAAGATATTCAAGATTGCTTCAAGCATAATGTCTCAAAGATTTCATTGTGGTGAATTATATTTACAAGAGGTTGGCTAACACTTGTACAGCACATTGCAATTATTAAATAGTGTATTTGAGGTGAAAAATAAGTTGAATATTGTATGAAATGAATGGTGACTCAAACTTGTTTTAAAAGTTTGTTACTATATTTAATGTTCACATTACACATGGGAGAACAAAGAACTAGGTTTTAAATAATATTAGAATTTGTAAAGATCTATCATTCTCACTCGGTGGTTACCCAGATCTTGCTACAACATAGTATGAGAGACTTAAAGAGACATCGTGTGATTACTTCCCTTGTTGCAAAAAAAACTTAATAATTAAAAATAGTTATATCCCTTAAGGTCGAAGAAATTTACACTTTTGTTTTTATGTTATAGTCTTTACAGCACAAGATTTAATTTTTTTAAATTTAGATGATTATACAACAAAAACACTCAAAAAATCAATGAAGGTATCAATCCTAGATTATGTTTTTTTTTTTAGGCATGTAGGTTTTTTTTTTTTAGTTTACCGAATTAGCGCTTAAACCCGGCTAAATGGTTTATAAAAAAATACCAGAGTTAGCTGTCCCTGAACAAGCACCCACCCTTGTACATTCACCCCCACCCTTTCACCACGAACGTTACAGAAAGTTTCAGTAACAATAACCGCTATCATTACAAGCATTATCTCCCTTCTTCAAGGAAAAACAAAGCTTCTTTTTAAAAAATTTCATCGCCGTGTAGCTGTCATAATTATCTTTTTTGATATGTTCAATACACACCCTCCACGTTAATGCTGATGAATTCGTTACGTTATTATTACACTCGTTACACTTCGTAAAAAAATTCTCTACTCCCACAAAAAAAAAGTATGTCTACTTTATAATTGGTCATAATTTAAAAATCACATATTGACAACATGCGCAGAGCAGAGGAAAGGGTTACGGCTGTTTGTAACTCCACCCGTCCTTGTAACGACATTATCGACCCCATGCCCATGCACTAGACCTGGTAACGCTACTACGAAGACCTATGTCGACCCCCCACCCACCCCATCTCCTAATACACCCCCCTGGTAACGCCAGTACGAAGACCTATGTCAACCCCCCACCCCAACCCCATCCCCTAATACACCCCCTTGGTAACGCCACAACGAAGACCTATATCGACCCCCCACCCCATCCTTTAATACACCCGCCCTGGTAACGCCACTTCGAAGACCTATGTCGACCCCCACCCCATCCCTTCATACACCCCCCTGGTAACGCCAATACGGAGACCTAAGGTCAACCCACTGGGTCAATAACGAGACATGGCCGCTAGACAACCTCTCTCAGGTGACGTCACCGCCAGTCACGGTATGAATACACTGTATTATAGAGTGCTGTCGAATTCATGTGTCGTTTTCAGTTAGGGCTTTAACACACAGGGAACTTAGATTTGCATAGCTACCTAGGTGTGATATTTACATAGCTACGTTGACGTGAAACTATAATGTTAAATATACACGTACATAAATGTGATATTATATAATTAGATGGACGAGACATTATGGGTCGTCCATAAATGACGACATACTTCTAGAGGGGATAGGTTTTCGGAATTTTGTGACGATTTGTGATGATGGGGGGGGGGGGGGGGAGAAAGTGTGATGTCACAGTTGCGTTTAAAAAAGTAATGTCAAAATCTGAATTTTATACTCTATGTTAACCGAAGAAAGAAATCGATGTTTAAAAAAAATAATTTAACTGCAATTTTAAGAGGGAGGGTTATAGGCTAAAGTGTGGCGTCATTTTAGTGGAGGGGGTGGGGGCTTTTTGTGAGGATGTTTGACGATGGTGAATGACCCCTTACATAGGCCTTTGCAAATTTCGTTGTATGTATTATTATTATTCAATATTAAATAAATGTAGTGAATTTTTTACTTAATTGGTTTCTAATATTTTGACCGAGGGTATGGGGAAGGTGTGGGGAGATCGATTGTCTTATTGCGGGATGGTATGATTAGGGGGAGGGGGAAGAGAGAGAGAGAAACCTAATGTTTACTTAAAAATACGAACTAATACCCACAATGTTTCATTTTTATTAAGTGTAGATTATCCAGTAGACCTACTTAAAAATGTATGAACGTCTTTTGTTTACTTGTATCCCGTCAACGTTTCTTTGTTACACATTGCAAGGCAATGTTACAAAAGTATTTTCTTTGTTATAACTAGTGTAAAAACGATACCTAACGGCAGATCGTTTGTGTCATATATAGGTCACGAATCTAATTTTAGTAGCACTCTGCAAGCATTATTTATTGACTGCACACTTGGAAATTTTCTCCTCGCCTCCTCTCCCACCCCACCCTCCACGCGTGAGCCTAACTAGATGTAACGCCGCTACTTGGGTTAAGATTTAGATTAAGCTATCCCGTGTGACAAATCACCGTAATATATTGTCGATATGGTACGGTTCACATAACGACCCCTTTATCCGTGCCAGTAACTATGCAACATAACAATGAACTAGCCCGCTCCAGGTAGAAATCTTCGACTCCCTTCACATTGCAACCCCTCCCTCTCTTGCAGCACCAAAAGTACATACAACTTTTCATAACAAACCTATCTTTACACAACATATTCTCTTTACACAACAACCCTTCATCACACAAGAACCCCCCCCCCCCTTTCATAATATAACCCCTTCTTCAAAATACGACTCCTTCTTCATAATAAAATACTTAAAAAAAACTTTTAAATAAACCACGTTTTTCTTGTGGACTAAAAAGTAGAAAATAAATTTTCATACATTTGATGACAAAAAACGTGGGTACGTTCACCATCAAAGTTCCCGACCCATCTGCCCGACCCACGTTTTTTGTCATCAAATGTATGAAAATTTATTTTCTACTTTTAAGTCCACAAGAAAAACGTGGGTTTTTTTTAAGTTTTCTTTAAGTATTTTATTTTCTCCTTTTTAGTCCGTTGCTACACATGAAAAACGTGGTTTTTAAAAAAGTTTTTTATATAGTTTATTTTCTACTTTATCTAATGACTTCATTAAGTATGACTTGACTAAGTGTTTATAAATACACGGACTAAAAATCTTGAGCGACCAGGATTCGAACCTTGGTTGTCGCGGCCACAACGCGAAGTACTAACCACTATACGATCACGGCCAGCGCGCTCACATCGATTGCGGCCGAAGTAACTGTGTCAATAGGCCTCCAGTCTTGTCGGTATCTTTAGAAATCATGTCCTCAATTTTATGGTCCTTGGGGCGTAATTAAATTAAGCTAATTACGGTCTCTAATTGCTAGTTTTTATGATTGCATCTGAAATTGTTAGGCGAAAGTAGCCTACATGCCAAATTTCAGATCTCTAGAGCAATCAGAAGTGGGCTAATTTTCGATGTCAATTTTAACAACAAACATTCAAACAAACAAACGCGAAGCTGAGTTAAGAATAAAATACTTTAAAAAAAACTTTTTAAAAAACCACGTTTTTCTTGTGGACTAAAAAGTAGAAAATAACTATTTACATACATTTGATGACAAAAAACGTGGGTACGTTCACCATCAAATTTCCCGACCCATCTGCCCGACCCACGTTTTTTGTCATCAAATGTATGTAAATAGTTATTTTCTACTTTTTAGTCCACAAGAAAAACGTGGTTTTTTAAAAAGTTTTTTTTAAGTATTTTATTTTCTCCTTTTTAGTCCGTTGCTACACATGAAAAACGTGGTTTTTAAAAAGTTTTTTATATAGTTTATTTTCTACTTTATCTAATCACTTGATTAAGTATGACTTGACTAAGTGTTTTTAAATACACGGACTAAAAAAATCTTGAGCGACCGATACGCTTTAAACAGAGAAAGGGTGTAATTTACGTTGCTGGCGTGGAGATCTACTCACGAATCACGTGATCAAATCTCCCATAAACAAACAAATAAACGCGAAGCTGAGTTAAGGAAAAACGTGTTTATGTGTATTTTAGCATGCCCAGCGTACCAACCGTGTCACCGTTAACAATGTGTTACCGTGTCCGTTCTACTTTTTAGTCCGTTGCTATACATAAAAAACGTGGTTTTTTTAAAAGTTTTTTTTAAGTATTTTATTTTCTCCTTTTTAGTCCGTTGCTACACATGAAAAACGTGGTTTTTAAAAAAGTGTTTATAAATACACGGACTAAAAATCTTGAGCGACCAGGATTCGAACCTGGGTTGTTGCGGCCACAACGCGAAGTACTAACCACTATACGATCACGGCCAGCGCGCTCACATCGATTGGGGCCGAAGTAACTGTGTCAATAGGCCTCAAGTCTTGTCGGTATCTTTAGAAATCATGTCCTCAATTTTATGGTCCTTGGGGCGTAATTAAATTAAGCTAATTACGGTCACTAATTGCTAGTTTTTATGATTGCATCTGAAATTGTTAGGCGAAAGTAGCATGCATGCCAAATTTGAGGTCTCTAGAGCAATCAGAAGTGGGCTAATTTTTTATGTCAATTTTAACAACAAACAAACAAACGCGAAGCTGAGTTAAGAAAAACGTGTTAAAAAAACCACGTTTTTCTTGTGGACTAAAAAGTAGAAAATAAATTTTCATACATTTGATGACAAAAAACGTGGGTACGTTCACCATCAAAGTTCCCGACCCATCTGCCCGACCCACGTTTTTTGTCATCAAATGTATGAAAATTTATTTTCTACTTTTAAGTCCACAAGAAAAACGTGTTTTTTTTTTAAAGTTTTCTTTAAGTATTTTATTTTCTCCTTTTTAGTCCGTTGCTACACATGAAAAACGTGGTTTTTAAAAAAGTTTTTTATATAGTTTATTTTCTACTTTATCTAATGACTTCATTAAGTATGACTTGACTAAGTGTTTATAAATACACGGACTAAAAATCTTGAGCGACCAGGAT